GCTGCAATCAATCATAGAGAAGTGCCTAAGAAAGCCTCTCACCATCATGAAGTGAGACCTAAACGCCTAAGTCGGAATGGACAACGCCAGATGTGAATATATCACGAGACAACATGGACTAACTGGGAGGAAGGAATGAGAATGGTGACATATTTGCAAATTCATGTGAATCCAACAAATTGATTGTAGATGCACAATATTCCTACACAAACGAACAAACAAAGCTACATGGGTCTCACCGGACCACACCACGTAGAACTAAATCGACCATATTTGGATGAGTAAAGGATTCAGAATAACAAAGAAAGACATGAGAACCAAGAGAGGAGCTGGCATAGCTTCATATCAATACTAGCTGATTGTGGCCAAGATGAAAGTGAAGCTACAGAAGCATTGGACAACTGGACAAACAGCACTACAATCAATCAATACAGCCTTCCTTCGAGATACTGGCAAACTCAACGGATTCAAAATATCTCTGAACAACAGGTTCCAAGACTGACATGATCAGCAGAGAGAAGAATAAGAAACAATTACTATGGGGGACAATTAGAAATGGATCAGATAAGCACTAACTTCAACATGTGAAGAGGTTGTGGACCGCATTAAGCATCATCATAAGGAATGAATCTGTATGGAGAGAGTGTGCAAGATTGAAGAACTGTAGAACAAGAAGGCAGCAATTAACAACAGCCGAATCAGAACAGAGAAAGTCGACCGAATGCATAGAGACGAAAATATGAGTGGAGAGGAGCTTTAGAACAGAAGATCAGAAATACGTGTTGGGTCAAGCAATGACAGTCAGATAAGTCGTTTGAGAAGGAATTATGAGACAACTATAGGATGCAAGGAAGAAATTAGAAGGAGGATATATTGTAAACTGGGGTGATCATTCAAATATGGAGAAAGCAAGCGAATCACTGAGATTGTAGAACAGAGGAAGAGGTGGGTAGAATACTTTGAGCGACAACTGAATAGAATATCTTCATTGAGCCAACTGGACATCGAAGCAGCACACACAGACATCAATATAGTTGTCAGTTTACCAACGATCGAATAAATCAGGCTGACTGGCAATCAGACAAATCGAGAGTGGGAAATCAGCGATACCTGAGAATATACCACCTGAATCACTGAAGTTCGATAGAGACGTGAGTGAGTGCAAATATGCTTCAAATCCTATTCGAAAGTGTTTGCGTGGACAGACATTTGTCATGGACAGGGGTCTATACTCCTTCATGAGAAGTAACAGGCCTATTCAGTAATGAAACAGTAGCATCGTACTAGGATATAGCTTTAACGAGCTTCCATCGCGGTATGTGTTTCCATTTATTGGATGAGATTTTTAGATAGTCCCGTCCACTCACAAAATACAGTCACGCTACATACATGGGGTCTTCTTAAATTAAGCAAACATTAGTTTCCCTCTGATACATGAAACATTATGTTACATATCACTCCCTCAACTACTTCAACGATTGATTGATGTTTCCACACTTTTTATTTTTGAGTGTCTGGAATAAAAACTTCACCTCTCCAAAATAGAAAATTCTAGGCAAAACTTTGCCACAAATCATAAACAACATACAAGTCATTATTTCACTTCAACAATGTTAGAAATACCTTCGACTAAAGTATCAAAAAAGGTGACGTTTATATATATTTGATTTTAGTTTATTATATTTGGAGTGTTCTCGTGTTTGAATTTTTGGTACATTGTGTTCTTCTTGATAAATTATCTGGTGTGTTTGTGCCGAAAATTGGTTATTACATTATTCTGTGCCTGTTATGAACTTTAAGCACAGTAGGTTCAGTTGTGCTCCGTGAGTTTTCTCTTACATGGATCGTACATTTGTAGGTACTGCTAGTTCGTATTTCAAGTCGAATATTTCCGAACACCTATTCCCATTTTTCAAAGTTGAAATCATGAGTCAATTGAAGCTAGACCACCATCGAAAACCTGGAAGCACTGGACGGCCGTTTCGTCCTATTATGGGACTCCTCGGCGGTGCGCATCCACGATCCCGCACTCGCGAGATTCGAACCCAGGACCTACCAGTTACGAGCCAGAGCCCTTAACCGATAGACCACTGAGCCGGCATCCAACGGTGTTAATGTCTAACTTCAACTGATCCACGAAGTTGAGCAACCATTCACCATTGGATGCCAGCTTAGTGGTCTATAGGTTAAGGGCTTCGGCTTGAGACTGGTAGGTCCTGGGTTCGAGTCTCGCGAGAGCGGGATCGTGGATGCGCACCGCTGAGGAGTCCCATAATAGGACGAAACGGCCGTCCAGTGCTTCCAGGTTTTCGATGGTGGTCTAGCTTCAATTGACTCATGATTTCAACTTTGAAAAATACTGAAATCTCAACAAATCCCCTTCCAATCTATTTCGTTTCTATGCCTCCATAAATTCTCCTGTACTCTATTTTTCCCTGGTCTTCCAATGTTGTTGTCTAGTGTCGCACTATTTTTCTTTTTTAAATCTTCATTTGGCTGTCTAAAAAACCCATTTAAAAGAGGTTACAAGTATTCCGGACGTGAAAACGCCTTTACTAGTAATACATATATTTCCGAAGTATACCAAACACCATCAAATCAGAAGACAGAAATGGAAGAGTTTGAAGACATATTTGGACGGCTGTCGATGTCTCAAGGAACATTTTGTTTAAGCTGGTCAGAGGTTGAAAGTGATGCGCAGTGCGGTGTACCCACTCGGGACCTGGTGAGAATGCGTGACCAAGAGCCTTCCGCTAGATGACTCCATAAAAACTAATTAGGTCAGCATCAAGCGTTAAAACCTTATAGAGCTATCGATTTTGGAGATTTATTTACCGCTACGAATTAATAATACTGGTGTGATGTGGGCCAGCTTCCATATTTCCGGTAGTTTTCCTCTGCTTAGCGAGTGTGCAAACATCACGCTAAGTGGTGTCGCCAGGATTGAAGCTGCTTCCCTCAGTACGGCGGAATGAACCATGTCCGGACCAGGAGAAGTGTCTTTTTTTAGGTTCTGCAGTTTACGGAGCACCAAGTCAGCACTCAGGTTCACTTCGGAAAGTCCTGTACAGGTGCAGGTGAAGCTTTCGTCAGTATGGTTAATGTGGGTCAGTTGGAATGTCCGGGAGTAATGTTGATGCCGCTAACCTTTTGGCTGAACATTACTCCCGGACATTCCAACTGACCCACATTAACCATACTGACGAAAGCTTCACCTGCACCTGTACAGGACTTTCCGAAGTGAACCTGAGTGCTGACTTGGTGCTCCGTAAACTGCAGAACCTAAAAAAAGACACTTCTCCTGGTCCGGACATGGTTCATTCCGCCGTACTGAGGGAAGCAGCTTCAATCCTGGCGACACCACTTAGCGTGATGTTTGCACACTCGCTAAGCAGAGGAAAACTACCGGAAATATGGAAGCTGGCCCACATCACACCAATTTTCAAAGGAGGTCGACGCAGTGAACCCTCAAGCTACCGACCAGTGGCCCTTCTCTCCATACCTTCAAAAATTATGGAATCCCTAGTATTCGACGGCATACTTGATCACTTATCATCCTTAAAGTTCTTCTCGCCTCAACAGCATGGTTTCAGAAAAGGTCATTCTTGTACGACCAACCTGCTGACTGCGGTGGATAAATGGACAACCATCCTTGATCGCAAGGGGAAGGTTGACGTCATTTACCTGGACTTCTCAAAAGCTTTTGATAGGGTCAACCATGCATGTCTTATCAAGAAGCTTGGACGATTGGGTATAAAACCCCCTTTAATTGACTGGATCACTTCATACCTAGAAAACCGACATTTTAAGGTCAGAGTTTACTTCACTCTCTCTCAGGCTATGGAATGTCCTAGTGGGGTCCCCCAGGGTTCAATACTAGGACCTCTTCTCTTCTTGATTTATATTAACGATCTTCCTCAACAAGTTTCATCTGATTTATTGCTTTTTGCTGATGATGTGAAACTTTGGAGGGAGATACGTACGCACAATGATATACTAGTTCTGCAGGAGGATCTGACTCGACTTCAAAGTTGGGCAGACGACAACGGACTTACCTTCAACACTTCAAAGTGCAAGGTAGTCCATCTGAGACATGTTGCAGACTATAGTTATAACTTAGGTAACTCACCTCTAGAAGTTTCCCAAGTTGAAAAAGATTTAGGAGTGTTGGTACCTTACGACCTGAAATCGTATGCGAACTGTGACAAAAACGCCTCTCAAGCAAACCTTGCACTGGTAACATTGAAGCGCATTTTTGGCCAGTTTGACGGTAGAACCTTCCATATAATCTTCAACAGTTTTATTCGTCCCCACTTAGAGTACGGAAACATAGTATTTCCTCCCTCCCTCCAAAAGGATAAGGTCACTCTGGAACGTATACAACGTCGAGCCACGAAATCAGTTCGGGGTCTCAAATTCAAACCTTATGAAGAGCGCCTCAAATCACTTAACCTTTACCCGTTAGAGTATAGGCGTCTTAGAGGTGATCTTCTTATGATTTATAGTATCCTTAATACTTCTGGTCATCCCCTTAAACAACTTCTTAAGCTTAGTCATAACACTAATCTCAGAGGTAACACCCAGAAATTGGAGATCCTACATAGCAGAACAGACTGCAGACACAACTTCTACTCCGTTAGAGTTGTCAAGTGCTGGAATTCGCTGCCGACTGAGCTAGTCCAAGCGACCTCCCAGGAGTTCTTTAAGAGGAAACTTGACTTATTCTTAAGGACTAAGGATAACATATTATTATGATTTACCAAATTCTTTTTTTTCCCTCTATTATCGTTCATATACCTAGGTTTTTGCCTGGAGGTATTGATGACTCACTGCTACCAGACACGGAAGCCCGTTAAGCGAAAGCTTCTTCTATTCCGTCCTCAACCATTTGAACCATTTGGTGCTTGATGTAGCCAAACACCTTCAGCACGTTGAAGTTATTGCTACTTGGATTATTTTTACCAATTGCTCTCCATGGTGTTTGAAACTTTCAACCTCTAGCTGGGAGCTTTATTGGATTCCTGATGCTTTTTTAGCCTCCGCCTAGAAGCCATCAACAAAGAGTTTCATATTGTATTTGTTTTAATGCTGTTGGACATAACTACCAAAAGACCTCAAGTACCGAGCTAAACTGAATTCGGTAAGATAAGAACGACATTTGAACTAAAGTTATTATTTGATTGAATTTTTGAATCAATACCATTAAATTGACCGTTTCAGTTAGTCGGAAGTTAACTAAGCTTAGAATAAATTTGTATCCATCTCATCATGGAATATTTCATGGTGAGAAATATAACAATTTACGTACTCCAACGACAATTCCAGGCAAATGTTCAAGTTTCTCATTACAAGTGTAACAAGAATCAATCAAAAATGAAAACGACTGTGCCGCATCCCACTGTGTTTATTAATTTAAACGTATGTGGTTACAAATATATGGAGATGACCCATTCTGACCCCTGGATAGGCAAAAGAGCGGACGTTTTGGCGCATTTCCGCATTATTTCTTCCTTATTTTCCAATGCATTTTCCCCTTTATATTCTCTTTATTGGTTGTTTGAATTACTGTCTTGACGTGTACCTAAATGTTTGAAAAAACGGATCAAATGACTGATAAGAGCAAATAATAAACAACCATCATCACTCATTGTCAAACATATAGTTGAAATAGGTTTTGAGATTTATCCTAACAAGGCTTTTGTAATGTTGTACGAATGTGTCAAAGGTGGTAGTCATACAAAAATTCAATCCTTTGTTTATTCAAAAACAGTTTGTTCTTATCTCAAACCTACTTTGGTAGTTTTAGTTCATTATTCACAGTGGTAAATTTTACCTTGTTTTTATTGTTTTTTTTTCATAATCTTTGTTCTCTCTTACTGTCCATCTGTCTAGTTGATCTTTTGTCTTTATGTATGGATTTAAAAGGACAGTGGTATTGTTTCACGTTGAGTTTAATTCACTGTTTTGATCGTAAATTACGTATCAAAACTACCGTTTGCACTTTAATTGAATTTATTTCAGTTAACGTGACATTGTATTTGTGTGTTTTGATTCTGCTTTTGTGTATTTGCTGCATCAAAGCATTCTTGGTCGACTGAGGCTTGTTTATTTGATAAGGTTGTGATTTATCTTACATATCTACCTTGCCTATCATTTTGTTTTATTCTAAGATGGTCGGCTCTGTACACAAGTGTGGACAGCCGTATTGCCTATTCCCCGTGGAAGAAGGGATGCAATGTGACGATTGTAAGAAGTGGTTTCATAAAATGTGCACCCGCTTAAGCCCTGCTGCTTATAAAAGGTGCTCGAAACCCAATTCTCATTGGCTCTGTATGTTTTGTTGCTCAAGTAAGACATTACTCATACAGGAAGCCATCAGCCTTCTAGCGTTAGCTAAAAAGGTCGACGTAGGCCGTGCCGGCAACATGGATACTGATAATGAAGATTGTATCAGTGTCGTAAATGCTGCCATGGCAGGTACCAGACACCCAATTTCGCAACAGGAAGCAACAATTTGTACTCCGGTACAACCAATGAAAGCCATGCCATTAAGTACTGAGGGACCAGTCGCTTTAGCAGCGACTGAGGACCCGGCTAGAACCACTATCGTCCAGAATAGTTCCAATCTGGATGCTGAGAATAGTGACAAATGGATTACGCGGAAACGCAAAAGAGACGGAAAAACACCCAAAGAAAGCGCGCGTATAGTCGGTAAGTCATCGTTGGACTCACGTCCTGAGCATCAGGCAACTCCGCTCAAGTCCATACGTAAGGAAATAATTAATACTGTTGTGGATGGAAATAGTCTAACTTCACCAAATGTTGTTGGGAGTAACTCGCTTGACCCACATGACACTGTCATAAAGAAAGCTAATAGCAAGAAGCCGGTAGCTAACCGGCAGGATCTGACATCACGGTCAAAGGCCGTGAACACGACTTTTAAGGAAGTTAAACAGATGCCTAGTGTAATCATCTGGAACTTGGCAGAATCGAAAGACATTGATCCCGCTAAGAGACATGCCCACGACCTGCAGTTAGTGGGATCTCTCATCAGAAATATACTGCCAGAGGAGGTCCCAGGGGTACATATCTCGAAAGTCATCAGACTTGGTAAGTATGTTGGAGACGAACCCCAACAGAGAAGGATCCTCAAATTAGTACTCGGTAATTTTGAGGAACGGGACGTATTACTAAATAACTCACGCAAAACTCGTGACTCAAACATTCGTATTCGACCTGACTGGCCACTTGAGGATCGGATCAAGTGGAAGAATTCCCTAACAGAGTTAAAAACTCGAAGGCTAAACGGTGAAGCGAACCTTACGATTAAGGGTTTTCGGGTAGTCAGGTCTTGGAAGCCAATGCTTCCGAGACCTGTGTGGGTAGAACGCATGTCTCCAAAAACACCCTAAATGTGTGTTATACGAATGCTCGTAGTCTTCGGAATAAGATGTCTGAACTAAGTTTGATGGTAGACGACTTAAATCCGGATATAATTGTTATCACCGAAACTTGGCTCACTGTAGATATAGACTGTTCTCCAGTCATTTCAGGCTACATCTGTGTCAGAAGTGATAGAGTTAGAAGTCGCAAGGGAGGAGGCATAATATTATATATTAGGGACCACTTCCGCATTAACTCGATCATATCGGAGGCGCATGTAAGTGGTACGTGTGAGGTAGTATGTTGTACAATTAGGTCTAGAAACGGGTTAGTGACGATAGGAGGAATATATCGTAGTCCGTGTTGTCTCGCTGACGACTTTATCCTAAAACACGTCTGTTCTTGGAGTAAAGCAGAATGTTGTCTCATCGTTGGAGATTTCAATGCACCCCATATAAACTGGATAGAGCTCACAGCTCCAGGTGGGGGTTTCGATAGCGTCCTTCTGTCATCAATTATTCAATGTGCACTTGTACAATGTATCGTTAAGCCAACACATATAGACTTGGAACATAATCCGTCATTGATAGACCTTGTCCTCACACACCACTCTGAAGATATCGTTGACATTCAACATCTTCCCCCACTGGTGAATAGTGACCATGTCGTACTTTCCTTTAAGTTCCGGATACATGGTATAGAATTTGCATCAGCTCCACCCCGTCCTAATATCTGGAGAGCTAATATTCCGGCAATCAGGGACTATGCTATCTCAATTGACTGGTCGGTCGATGCTGATGGATCGATTGATGATGCATGGAATAGGTTTAAGTCTACGTTCGAATCCGTAACTCAGCCGTTTATCCCATGGTCAGCACGTAAGTTATCATATTGCCCTCCATGGATTAATAAGGAAACCCGGAAGCTGTTGAAGCGTAGGAAACACTTCTGGGACTTATTCTTGTCAACAGGTCAGGCATCATTTAAGTGCGAATATAAAAAAATCCGGAATATATGTAAAAAGACCATAGCTAAATCCCGCACGGCTTACGAACGACAGTTGGCATACGATAGCCGTACCTGTCCGAAGTGCCTGTTTTCGTACGTTAAAAGGCGGACGAAACGTAGTGATGGCATCCCCTCATTACTGTTAAGCAAAAATTCAGCTTTATTGGCTGAATCTGATCTGGCGAAAGCGGAGTTATTTGCTAACTATTTCAGTGAAGTCTACTCTACGTGTAGTGTTACAACAACTTGTCCCGTTGACAATGAGATACCAGCCATAGGACCTTTACACGTGACAGAGGATATTTTTCTTCCTTTGATAACTAACCTAAAACCTTGTAAGATACCGGGCCCCGATGGGTTACACCCACGTTTGCTGTCGTCGCTTGCGGACATTATCTCAAGACCGCTCACGATGCTCTTCAACATGTACCTTTCACAGGCTCAACTACCTAGAGACTGGAAAGACGCCATAGTTAGTCCTATATTTAAGGATGGTCAGAGACGGATAGTATCTAACTACCGGCCTGTTAGCCTGACCAGTATAGTAGTTAAGTTACTTGAAAAATTAATTCGGGCTAAGCTACTGAGCCACATAGATTCGTACAATCTGTTAACTCCCGAGCAACATGGGTTTCGTAACAAGCATTCATGCTTGACTAACTTACTCATTGCGAGAGAGGATTGGACAGCTGCACTAGACAACGGCCAGTTTGTCGACGTGATATTTATAGATTTTAGCAAAGCGTTTGATAAGGTTTCACACTTAGGTCTTATGCAAAAGCTCTCGAGCTTTGGTATAACAGGTGCTATACAGGAATGGATAGGAAGCTTCTTATGTGACCGCAGACAGAGAGTGATAGTCAATGGAACTCTATCCGAATGGAAACCGGTCAAAAGTGGTGTACCCCAAGGCACCATCTTGGGCCCTTTACTTTTCCTTCTGTATATTAATGAACTACCTTTATTACTGAAGTCGTCGACGTTATTGTTTTCGGATGATGTTAAAATCTGGAGAACAATAAGAAATGAGATTGATCGTTGTTATCTACAAGCAGATTTAGACGAATTAGTTAGGTGGGCTCATGATTGGGGCCTGGAAGTTAATTTCAGGAAGAGCGTGTTCATGCACATCGGGCACGATATTAGTTACCACTATACCATTAATGGTACATCTCTGCCACGCGTTCATACGCATAAAGACTTAGGAGTAATTATAAGTCACGACTTAAAAACTACTACGCACTGCAGTGCGGTTGCTTCCAAAGGCTATCGCGCGCTATGGTCGCTTCGCAGAGCATTTAAATGCTTTGACGAGGATATGTTTCGAATTTTATATCCCACCTATGTAAGGCCACACTTAGAATACTGTATCCAAGCAGCTAGCCCTTGTCTGATAAAGGATACTAAATCGCTTGAGCGTGTCCAGCGTGTAGGGACAAAATTAGTAAAGGGTCTTTCCAAACTCCCTTACGATTAGCGTTTAAAACGTATAAATCTTTTCCCCTTATCTTATCGTAGGACGCGAGGTGACCTTATACTGGCATTTCGTATCTTTAATTATGATCTGGGTGTTAATATGTCTTACCTTTTTGCTCCCTCCAGCACTAATAATCTCCGGGGTCATAGCAAGAAGGTTCTGAAACCGCGATCTAATAAACTAAAGGTGGGGTCCCGTTTTTCTCATCGAGTGGTCAATGACTGGAACGCTTTACCAGAACAAGTGGTATCAGCACCATCAGTGAACATTTTCAAAAAGAAGCTGGACCTTCACTGGAAGGAAATCTGTCAGGATTAACACAGGTTCATCAACCTACTATCCTTATTACTGAAGACTGAAGACTGTTCTCAACAAGTTTATGTGTGGTATCAGCACCATCAGTGAACATTATCAAAAAGAAGCTGGACCTTCACTGGAAGGAAATCTGTCAGGATAAACACAGGTTCATCAACCTACTATCCTTATTACTGAAGACTGATCAGATTATTTGAAGTATATCGCATCAATATATCTCATAGTTCTGATAATTATCGTCTTTCTATCACACTATCCAAATCTTTCAAATGTACTAATTTCTTTGAATTCCATAGGTTTTGATGGTTTATGAACCTTACACTTCCAAATTCTAGTTTACATAACCACATAGCCCTAATCTCACCCTTTCAGCATTGTTAGTCGTTCTCGCCTGGTTTCATTATCGCATATAAATGCATTCTATGTGTTAATCGAGCTGTCAACCTACCTTTTTTATAGTTTTGTTCTCCACCGGATTATTTCACACGCGGCTCCTCACTTTCTGTAGGCACAAAACGCATCGTTAGGCTAGAATCAAATCTAAAAACTGAGCTATATGAAGCGTCACGGATTTCTGTCATTAATAAACACAAGTTTCACGAGCAAACAAAAAATTAGGAACAAAGATAAACTCAAAGGAAATAAAATATAAAACAGTCGAATACTAATTAAGGATTCAATGATAAACAGAAAAGCATTTGTGGCCTCAAAATAGCACGGCAATATATGTAGACTTTTAGATATGAACATGGTAAATATCATTTAAGCATGTGATTTAATATTATATCAATACCAACTTTCGAAGTATCATCTATATTCCCAAGTCTAATTTACCAAATTGTAAAACAGGCTTAGTCCTACTTCTGCGAAGTAACCTATGCATGAACCAATAATGTTTAGCTAGAAGCCCTAGTGTGCTTTAGACCAAAGTTGATAACAATAATAATACTTTTCTACCAAGCTTAGTAGTCTTCTTTCGAGTGAGTCAGCTGAAGATACTAACACCACTTCTTTTATTATCAAGCTCTAACAGTTAGTGACTCGGTGTAAAAACCTGTTTCCCACCTGTATTTTGTTGAGTAGTGTAAATCCAGATTTACGACACTAGTAAGATGGAAGTTCTACTGATTCTGTCTCATTAATTGAAGTGACAGTTGCACCCTTCCACTCCAGATACAATTCACTATGGGTGATTGACATTCTGAATATCGTGGTGAGAGGGGTACCGATGCACGGTGCAGTCTTTTTCAGGATACAGCTCATCCGTTCGTATAAACGTTTTTGTGTTTAAAGAACTGATCGTCTTTATTACGTTATCTTAGTTACATTTCACCACAAGCAGCCGATTCTGGGACATTGCTTCGTGGCCTAGTCCTCCTTCGAGAGGAAGCCCATGTGTGCAGATCATTCTGGATTAATCAGTCATGTCTTCCTCTCATTAGTGATCCACCACCTTCCGCAACTAAACTGAGAATCTATGGGTGTGTTTCTGTCCCGTAATTGATGTATTAAAACTTGATGTTTCCCAGGGACTCTACGTCATAGTTTGCACTGGTTTATAAAGAACATTCTTTTCATATACTTTAACCTCTATCTAGAGTAATTGTTGACTCATTTATGGAACGTAAGCTTTTATTTATTGCGCGTCTATTTGAAACCATCCAAACATGATGTACCTACATAACAACTTATTTCCACATGCACTCTTAAAGCCGATTCACAGTTCACTGCCATATCATTAATACTACTCTGGATTTAAAACACAAAAATATAAGCTTAGTATTTTATCAAATCATTAAGTCGAAATGAGAAAACTGAATATCTGTGTGACACTTTGTTGCGTAAAATAATTCTGATCCTTCTCAAAGCTAATTTCCTACTAAAAAATCCACATCTAGATTTGAGAAACAGTTGATAGTACATTATAAACTCCATAAAGGTAAGATATAGCTTGCCAGATGCCATAGATTACGGTATACCAGAAGGTATAATCTGTGTTGACTTCATTAAAATGTGAAACAAAGGTTCCACACACTATTCCTCTGGGCAGGTTAAAAGGTTAAGGTATAAATTAACATATGTTTAGAAAAGCCAAAGAATTTCTTGTTGATTACCAGTAAAAATTACACAGATTAACTCGAAAGACTCTCCTAGGAAATAAATTCCTAATGGGACGACACAGAAATCGTCCAGGTTCATTGTGGTTTATTCTGTATATCAACAAGTAGCGCCAGATCTTCAACATTGCCTTATTCTGAAAAATCTCTAAATTGCAGAGGAGTGGCAGGGTTTAGTGACTCTGGCGTCCTTCAAGGCTGAAATGTGGCAAGAGCAATGTTGATCAATGCAGATGTGCGTACCACTATGGTTGTTGGATATCCAAGTGTCACTAACCACAAAGTTGGCGGGATATTCCTGGATCTAATCTTAACTCACAATTATATAGGAGTCACATTAAGTGGTAACTGAAAGACCATGACCTATTTTCGTCCATTTGTACGCGAAGTTCCTATAACACTGTAGGTGTTAATACAAGGCAAAAGTACGATTACATTCATTTGTACAGCCCTGGTAATTTTCAAACTACGACATGGTTTAAGACTGCAACCATCTGTTTGAAAGGCAACTCCATTATTTAAAATCATTTATTCGCCATTGAAACAAGAAATAATCTCATTAAAAGCTATATGTATCCGGTAATACTTCAAAGTGCACTAGAATTATAAACCTATTTCGTTTAGCATAAAATGATCACCATCGTTTCATAAGATTTTGAAAATGTTGATAAAGTGTGTCAAAATTATGTGGCCCTCAACCAAGTTTCACCGATTCAAATTTGATGCTAGAAAAACTTCGACACATGCAAGCGACATGGCTTCAAATTTTGGACGCTTGGAGAGCCTATTATTGGGTGGATAGTTTTAACTGTAATTATTGAAAACTACATTCTCAAGTCTAACTTTCAGAGTTATTGAATAAAAATGAACCTAGAGTTCATCATTTACGAATATATCTAAAGCCAAACAACATAAAATTAACCAATAATGATGAATTCGGAGACAAATAATATGGGATGTTCAGAGTTAGTACTAATAGAGGTTCTATAAACTTTTCTGCCTTTTAGTTTTTATATATTCATAAGATAGACTCTTGTCTTTGTGAATCAATCAAACAGTCCTGAATAGCAGCATGTACTAATGTTCTGAAATTGTTCTATTTTCAAAAATATTGAAAATTTAGTTAAAGTGTTACATTTTCTGGTTTGTCATACATACAGGAATCAAGTAGACATTGTAGCTTGTCAACTGAAATTTTTTTTATTTGATAAACTAACTGACTTCTTGATTTATTGGTCTGTAGATCATTTGACAGTTGCTGAACAATCTTTGGTGTACTATTACAGACATGGATTTAGAACGTAGAATACCATGTCAAAGAATGAATTTCATCAAAGAATTGATGCCATTAAGCAGACACATTGAATCTCCAATCTCCAAAAAAGTCCTAGCTGTTTTTGATGCGGCTTTACAAAAGGTATTGACTGTTTTATGTTTACAGGACATAAAGGAAAGTGTCGAGGTATGTCCTTTTAATCTTAGTTTATAAGGGTCCATAGATTCAGAATGAAGGAAGCCTACTGGACCGTTTGAGTTCTTACTTAGATCAAGCGAAAGAATACGACTTAATAAAAGCTAGTAACTTCGATAATCCCTATTCGCATAAAAGTTTATCTCAGAAGTGTGAGATTCTGAAAAATACCAGTAAGTTACATACTTTTTACAACAGAACATTGTTAGAATCAGAAATAAACGATTCTTCGGTGAGTTCGGAAAATGGGTTTTCAAAACATGCAAAATAAATTATCAGTGGAAATTTTAAAAAAGTATAAGTATGCACTTTCGTATATCTGTTGATCAATTCTTAATGGTAAAAGGTATTATTTAGTTCTAAAATGCTTATCAATATGAATGCATATTGAATTGGTTTGAGATAGACATTTATATCTTTGTTATGATAATTACTACTTTAGAAGGTTTGACAAAGTTTATCGTATTTAGCTATTATCAAACCCTTCAAGATTCTACTTTCTACGCTTTATCCTCTGGTTTAAAATTTCTCACTGCATTACAAAGCACATATGTAAGCACAGATTCTACTGAAGCTAATCTACTCATTTTTTTGAGGAATTTTGACAGTTTTGAAGCAATGGTAATTCACCTACATAACTTTTTATAGGCAAAGAATGTTATGCGGCTTAGAACTCTAACAGTAACATGGTAATCCATCTTTACAATGAGTTAGCTATATGCTCTGGCTTAAATTTATCTTTGCTCATATATAACAAACAGAAGTTAACCATTGGTTGAAAAAGTTAAGTTCTCACTATGCAGCATATTAATAAATTACTGAATTGAAAGTACCAATATTTTTTATCTGTTACCATAATTCTCTCTTAATAGACTTGCATGTATGATTTTTCTTGAGGGGAAAAGTACTAGTATGGTAGTTTTCTGCGTCTGAACTTATTATCACTTGTTGCTTTACATCTTAATATGACAAAAAAGAATATGATATGTTTCCAATGTGAAGGATGACTGTTTTGATTAGTTTTACCAGTATCATTAATCGGTTTAGATTAATAAAGGATTTCCATAAAAACCCCTTCTGATAATTTATGTTTGTTAATTAATTACCTGGAGTGCTTTAACATACGGAAAAAAATTGAAATATTTTTACATTAGTTATTGTTGAATTATAAACCTTTTAAAAAATCTTATTTGCATTTGGATGATATTCATACAGATCAATTGCTTTAATTAAATACCGTGTGTTTAACTAGCAAAATAAGTGCATTTCATCTTGATTCAACAGTCATAATAGTAGGTACAAGTAAAAACGTTCTGAAAATGTAAACAATGCTCCATCCAGTCCCCTCTTACGGTTAAGGTGTTATTTTAACGTATTGACTAAAAACGTATATAGCTAAGTGTGTTGGCTTTAAACCAGTCGAAAATTGTAGTGAAGTTCTTATCACTAAGTTCCACAGGTTCTACAGCTTCAATAAGACAGTAAATGGTCGCTCATAATTCGTGGATCAGTTGAAGTTAGACATTAACACCGTTGGATGCCGGCTCAGTGGTCTATCGGTTAAGGGCTCTGGCTCGTAACTGGTAGGTCCTGGGTTCGAATCTCGCGAGTGCGGGATCGTGGATGCACACCGCCGAGGAGTCCTATAATAGGACGAAACGGCCGTTCAGTGCTTCCAGGTTTTCGATGGTGGTCTAGCTTCAATTGACTCATGATTTCAACTTTGAAATTTATTATTATTTAAATCAAAGTGAAGACTTATCATTCACACTGATTTCATTTGGGTAGATTGTAGTTTTAATGATCTTTCTCCCCTATACACACCTAAAGGGTGGGAAGTGGTAGCTGAAGATGATAACGTTACTACTATCTTGAACTATAACTTCAACAAATCTTAAACTGCTAATGTATTAAATTTTACAAGCCATAAAACTTTAAAAATCTGTTGATATTAGAGACGATTTTGCACAGCTTACCAACCGGTAGGTACAACACTTTTGTGATCAAACCTGTCCCTTAAAGCCTCTACAAACATCAAATCATTGGAATACTACACAGATATCATTCAAAGTTACATAAAGGAATCTGGCTAACAATTTTTTAACTAGGAAAATAAGGAGTTTCAAAAACCTGACTCTCAATGGATTTTGATCTCCGGAATCTTTGTTTTTCATCTTATCCGTTTTCGCAGTGACAAATAAATTATAATTCATAGTTGAAATCATGAGTCAATTGAAGCTAGACCACCATGGAAACCCTAGAAGCACTGAACGGCCGCTTCGTTCTATTATGGGACTCCTCAGCAGTGTGCATTCACTTATCTCAGTAATTAAATGAAACTGAATGACTTATAAATCTTTTCAAATAAGTAGTTATTCACGACTTCGAAAAGTAAATTAATTTTACCACTAAGATGCTTTCAAACTTCCTATAGATAATAAACTACAATGAAATATTCGTAGAAATATTACTAGAAGCTACCAAACTATATTCCCCTACATCTAAGTGGAAAGAATGATAATCTACAAATGAAATAAAGTTTGTTAAAACAAAGATTATAAACTTCTTGACATCTTCGTCATTCCACTAACCAGAAAGTCGATCCTATAGATAGAATTTCTCTTCAAATTGAAATCATAAATAATTTAAGTTAATAGATCTTTAATTTATTTTATATTAAACTTTCAATGTAGCATATTCATAGAGATATTCAACTTAAGAATGAAACATGCAAAATTGTATCTAACAGAAGAAAAATGCTTATTTACTAAACTCATATTTTCAAAATCTACAAAACACTTTATGGTGAGACTATAATTTATGGACGAATCAATCAGATTTAAGATAACAGGTCTTAGATTTTGGCGCGAGATCCATCTACTCATTTGGCTAAATAATATTCTTCATCATACCTGATGTCAGTTCGTTATGAAAACATTCAACTTTCAACTGTAAATCCTAATCCTAGTTCCTCGCACTAATTTATGACCCCAAATTTAACCCTAGTAAGTAGATGGACATTTTTAAGGTCATTTTAGCGTTGCTCAAAGGTCATCCATAAATTATAGTCTCATCCATCTTATTTAAAAGAAATTCAAGATTAAATCTTTTATTTATGAAATTTCAGTAAAATTCTATAGAGAATCGAATGAAAGGCATTAAAAAATATATAATTATTTCCAGTGATGTTTATAAATCTCAATTAATGAATGTCGACTAATTTTCACCTTTCTAACATTAAGAAGATATCAGGGTTCTTTTGGAGATATTAGTAATTTTATGTAGTTGAAATCATGAGTCAACTGAAGCTAGACCACTATGGAAAATCTGGAAGCACTGGACGGCCGTTTCGCCCTATTGTGGGACTCCGTGGCCGGCTCAGTTGTCTGTTGGTTAAGTGCTCTGGCGCGAGACTGGTAGGTCCTGGGTTCGAATCTCGCGAGTGCGGGATCGTGGATGCGTACTACTGAGGAGTCCCATAATAGGACGAAACAGCCGTCTAGTGCTTCCAGGTTTTCGATGGTGGTCTAGCTTCAATTCACTCATGATCTCAATCAAGAAAATACTAATAGTTTTTTTCCGTTTCTATGTTGTAAATGTATTATTTCGATCAACAGATTAGATATAGGTTAATTATAGGAGACTATTTCAATATTCTTATAGAATATATGTTGAAGTATTTCAAGAACGCTTGTTTTTCAAGTAGTTATTTTTCCCTTAAATCTAATGAGTCCCCTTCAAGAAAGATAAGTATATGTAATTTCTTGGAATCAATCAACATGAGGTCGACACTAACCATTGCATAGTTAGCAGTCGACTGATCAATAATATCATAAATTTCCTCATAAAGTTTATTGAGTAGTTACTTATTATCTTAAACGTATTTGCTAAAGATGTTTGAAGATACCGAAGTCAGAAAACCATACTTCAATGACATAGACTTCAACTAATATGGAAAGAGATTAGAAATTTGTATCTTACATACACAATTTTATTAGTTCAGTATTTCATTGTAATAAATAATTTAAATTTACAGCCTTCATTATCATATCAAACAGCGTCCTTGAAGTCTGTTTCTGCAAGGCACTATTTTTTCACAAGTAAACATAGTAACATGATAAATCTTGAGTTTGATTAGTCATTTAGTGAGTTATTCTAATTGATTAGTTTCCTTCATCAATTCAATTATTTTTCAAAGTTGAAATCATGAGTCAATTGAAGCTAGACCACCATCGAAAACCTGGAAGCACTGGACGGCCGTTTCGTCCTATTATGGGACTCCTCGGCGGTGTGCATCCACGATCCCGCACTCGCGAGATTCGAACCCAGGACCTACCAGTTACGAGCCAGAGCCCTTAACCGATAGACCACTGAGCCGGCATCCAACGGTGTTAATGTCTAACTTCAACTGATCCACGAAGTTGAGCAACCATTCACCAATTGTCTTCAGTGAGTTCCTATCTCACAACGGACGTGGTTGAACTCCACTGGTCACTGGCGCACTGCTGAGGAGTCCCATAGTAGGACGAAACGGCCGTCCAGTGCTTCCAGGTTTTCGATGGTGGTCTAGCTTCAATTGATTCATGATTTCAACTTTGAAAAATAGTGAAATCTCCACAAATCCCCTTCTAAATTCAATTATTTGACAAATAACACATAAATGTTTCCTAACTCACTTTATATCTAACTATCAATATTGTCTATTAAAACTCATTGTTTTTCAACATTTTTCAGAAAGATAATATAAATAAAGAATTAGAAAATAATTTACGAAATTTTTTATATTTTCTGTTATCACAACCTTTAATTAATCAAATATTATCAAGAATTCTATTAGATAATAATGAACAATTAATGAATGAATGGAAATTACCAGAAACAATTACTAATTATATAAATAATGTTAAATGGATTCAAATACCAAAATTTTTACATAATAATAAAATAAAATTATTAATTGAATATTTAATAAAATTAAGAATATTATTATTAATAAAATTATTAATTACACCAGAAGATAAAAAACGTAAAAAATTATATAAACATGAACTTGAAATAAGAGATCAAGAATGTCAAATAAAATTAACTGAACTTATTAAAGAATTGGATATACAAATATGTCAAAATAATAAAGAAGTAAGTATAAATAATTAAAGAATTGAATATAAATTGAATTAGTATTGTTGTGTTTAAATCATCCTATTGATGTTTTTAGAATTTCAACTGGTTAATCTCTTATTTGGCATATACGCATACTGTGCTTATTGCCTCGATATAGCTTTAATTCACAAATATTATAAGCAAACATGGATAGTGGTTAACAGTGGAATCCAGGAGGTGCGTTTTGTCCTAGTTGGGACTCGTCAGCTGGATGTACCAGCATCTCAGAGTTGATGTTCACTCTGGGACTCGAATCTAATAACTTTCTCTTCAAAAGCAATCGCATTATCCACTCAGCTACAGAATCCTGATAGCAACTTGCTTGTGCAATCGGTTGAAGTTTAAATTCACTTAGTATTGTTTGTTTGAATCTTCCTATTGATGTTTTTAGGACTGCAACTGGTCAGTCTCTTATTTGGCATACTGAAGCGAAAGGTACTGGGCTCGAGTCCCAGAGTGAACATCAACTCTCAGATGCAGGTACATCCAGCTGACAAGTCGCAAATAGGACGAAACGCACGTCAAACTGGATTCCAATGCTAGCCACTATCCATCTTTGCTTACAAAGATTTGAATATAGTTGAATATTTAAAAGTAATAATCGAATATAATTTTTGCTAAGATACTAAGTGATCTTGGTTTTAGATACATACTAACATCTCTAAAATAATATATATATATATATATATATATATATATATATATATATATATATATATCATAATTCGATAGAGAGATATATAATCAGGCCAAAACTTGGCGAAAATGTATATCATTTGAAGTTTACACACTTGAAACTAGCAATGTCAGAAGATTAATAGTATCAGTACGACTGACACTTACTTACCTTCTTACGCCTATTACATCTCGTGAAGGAGCATGTGTGATTGGGTTGGTGTTCTCCGTGTTGTATTTGAGAATCTTACTTTTTCCTTTGTGTATGTTGAATCCTATTGATGCATATGCTACTGCTACATTAGTTGTCTTCATCTGTATTTCTTCGTGTGTATGGGATAGAAGGGCTAGGTCATCTGCGAAGTCCAAATCGTCTAATTGATTCCGAGATGTCCATTCTATTCCGTGCTTCCACTCAGATGTCGAGGTCTTCATAATCCAGTCAATCACCAGAAGAAAGAGGAAGGGTGAGAGTAGACAGCCTTGTCTGACTCCGGTCCCTACTGGAATTGCACCTGTCAGCTGTCCTCCATGCACCACTTTGCACTGTAGTCCGTCGTATGAGTTCCAGATAGTGTTGGCGATCTTCTCAAGAACTCCATAGCGTCGAAGAAGTTTCCATAATGTTCTCCGGGTGACACTGTCAAAAGCCTTCTCATAGCCAATGAAGTTGATGTATAGTGACGAATCCCACTCAATTGATTATGCAACAATGATCCGTAGTGTCGCTATTTGGTCTGTGCACGACCGATCTTTACGGAATGCATCCTGATGATACCTAAGTTCGGCGTTTACTGCGTCTTTCATCCGATTCAGCAGCACTCTAGATAATCCTATTCGCGATCACTATTTTGATTTCTTAATATTTCCTCTACCTTTAATATCCGAAAATTCTCCTATAGATTCACCTTTATCTCTACGCACCAAAAATGCTCACGGAACGTTATTCGTGGTTTTCTACAAATGAGCTCTAAACTAGGTATTGGAGTTTTCAATGCCTGAGTCTTGTATGATGCGAAAAACCCACACCAGGGAGCCCCTTAAGGTTTATTATTATAATGAAAAAGCCAAGAGTACATTTCACAAGGAACTATGGAAGTAAAGTGATCTCAACTTTAATGTAGGGTTACACGATAACCGAATGAAATTACTTGCACAATTGCAACTGATTTCAATTTGGAAATTAAGAAAAGAACGTTCATCGTTAAAATTTGTCTTACAATTATGAAGAATAATGCATTTAATAGAAAGATAGAGATAATGTAAATAAATCAATTTAAATCAAACTGATTATAATTAAGTCTGAGAAATGATCAATGGGATAACTTGAGCTACATTGAAACTGTTAAATCATTATTTAACTGACTATGTAATGGAGTTTCCAGTTGGATAACGGTAAATTCTATTTACTAATGATTGTGGATTCATGCAATACAAACGCCTTAAATGAAAACAAGGATAAGCTAGGTGTTTGACATACAACAACTCTTCAACTCTGATGATCCACACGTAAATATAATATTGAGAAGATAATACTTTCAAGATAGCTCTATATTCCTAACAGACGTCAAAAACTGAAACGAAACAACTATGTTTATTTAGTAACATCCAACTATCTTGAATAATATAAACTAAGAAAACCAAAAGTAATAATAGCCAGTCAGATAAAAACAAGGTTCCCAGTAGAAATACGAATTTAAAGAAACATCATCGGGTTTATACTTTCAAAAATAAACTGAAATTTAGTAACAAAGACTGGCAAACCTCACTTCATCTTGGCAGTAAACTAATTAAACTGAGGCTAGAAAACTTTTATTACAGTCACTTATGGTTAAAGATAATACTTATTTGAATCACTCATTATCTGTCACAGAGTTTATTAAGCATGTGAAATAGCTCACCTAACCTTGAATTCAAACTATGAGATAAGAAGTTCAAAATTGGTAACTTGTAACTGTTAAATAATATCAGTGGTCTAAGAAGTACGGGGAAAATGTTCCCATTCGAAATTTCCATTGTCAAGTGGTAGTCGAATAGAACAAAACAATGTTAGAGAGATCATAAAAGTTGTAGATTTTAACCATAAAATCATACTTAGATAATGCAATAGTTATCATGTGTTCACTGTTCTCTGATGATAACTAAGCATCGGTCATCAGTAACTGTTTATCAACAAATCAAAAATCAATAGTGTTTTGTCTTCGTTTATAGGTTAGAACGATGCATGACACCAGTTATTTCCTATTCCGAATTTTGCATTGAGTCCCGCAATACCCATCAAAATGCCGAGACCATAATTTATGGACGACTTTTGAACGAATCTTAAATGATCTTGAGAAATATTAGCCAATCAAGAAAAATATATTGTGCATAACTAAAGAATTAAAGCGCATACACTTCCTTTATATGGTTCAAAAACTTGTCAAGTTACAAAACAGTTCAGAATTTCTGAAACCGCATTGCATATGATAGAGGAATTTGTCCATATGACTCCATAATAGTCGGCCTCTGCAGCCATGATAAGGTAGCAAAAACTCCTTCATCCTCGACCACATAGTTTCAGTATTATTTGTGTGCACTCCGGTTGTGCAAGCGTGTTATTTTTATTACGCATGTATCTCTACAATACTCATACCACTTAACAGCCAAATCTTCAGTAACATCTGCGAATGTTGCAGTCAATGTTACTGATGCTTTTATTATACAGATCACAACAACCACCATAATTTACCTTAGTCTCAATCTGGACCGAGCGAAAAAAGTTCCTATTCTAGCAAACTTCTTCCTCCAACATATACTACATCGAAAGACAACATAATCACGGTAGTCTGAGCGAAGTCCACCAGTCATTTGATTACCACAATAACAAATAAAGAAACTTCTTAGTAGTCCCATTCGTTGTAGCCGCTCAATTATCACGTCTTACCTAGGATCTTCTGTGAACTGATCGTACGTGAACATCAGGTACTGAAATTGACTGTGTGACTTTGAATCCCTTAGACACTTTTGATTGGCTCGTCCATAAATTATAGTCTTCCCTCAAAATATTTTATTGAAAAGAGTATTGTTGCAAAAGTCTTAGTAAAAAAAAAACAAGTTACATTGTTTGAATTTCAGACTAGAAAAGTTGGTTATACTGTTTCAAAACTTAAAAATGAAATTGATAATCTTGAAAAATATTTAAATGAACGAAAAAAGCAAATTAACACGGAAGAAGCGAAAAAGATAACAGAAATCACAAAACAAAACAATGGTAAGTTAAGTAAACAGATATTACTCAGGCTTCTTGTTCTTAAAATATCATATATGATTGATACTTGAGTTGAGGAACATTAAACATTTGCTTTTTCCCAGATTAACAATGCAGAAAACGTCAAAACCTCTAAATCAAATGGTTGAGGTTAACATTCAGAAGCTTAGTTGTACTCTAAACTGCACTTGCAGAAGTATGAATACGTTAATAATCTAAACGATAATTAAATTTAAAGAAATTGAGTTAACAAAGTAGTAGACTTATTGTAGAGATACTTTTATCAGTGGTTTAAACACTTTCATTAGTAAACTTCAGTAGTAATCATACAACTGTAATAGTTAACTCATATTCTTGGAATAGGTTAAAAAAAACTAGGGACACCTAAACTAAGTGATAAATGGCATCAGTCCATAAAGTCATTGATTTTCAGAATGATCTATGGAGATAGGTGCAAATTAACTGGTTGAGGTCTATGTAGTTGACGTAACCGATGGTTGCATGCTTTGATTGGCATGTCTCAGAACCGTTCGTAATCACACAGGTGAATTCACTCTTTGTTTTCCCGTAAACCGTAAATTTTTAAACTGCCTTACAGATTCTATTATTCCATTGATGTGAACTTTCTTATCAAACCGTATATTCAATCATTTCTCTTTTCTATTACTACTAATAATGTTACTACTTCTAATACTCGTTGATTTACTTCGACTATTTCATCTTGCTGTACTATTGAGGTGTGATACATATCCCAGGTTCTACCATAGTTTATAACTGAGCGATCATAATCACCGGTACTAGTATTATTTCGACTCTTTTGCTATTCAACTTGCTAATCTCATCTCAACGTTGTGATGTGGTATGATAACTTGAGCTTACGAGCATTTTTGTCAGGCTCTATGCTCATTATGTCCGACTGAACATCAAGCTTTAGAAATTTTACTTGACAGTGTTTTAGATTTTCACTTTATTTCTGATGAGTAATGTTTTGATCGTCAGTCTATAGGGGATTACAGTGATGAATCGTTTTTATTCTAATGGTATATATGTTGTTTATAAATTTGTAAATTGACTGCACAGTTAAACAAACCAGCTTGACACTATGATAAATATTCATTTAGTTGATATTCGATTATATGGTTTGTATGAAAGTACTGTCTAACCATATAGTTGGTTGGTACCTATCACAGTATGATTTCTAATGAGTGGAGTAGTCACTTGATACATATTTGAGATCGTTAATATGCGATAGAGCAACTCGCTAAATAGACTAGTGTATTCTTCCTTACATTAGCATATACTTTTTTAAACTATCAATTTTTAATGACGTTTGACGGGTAATTAATTGTTAGATAAATCTCACTGAAATCATGAATCGATATAAATCAGATCACCAGTGAAAACCTGGGGGCGTTGGAACTTCTCTGCAGTGCGCATCCATGATCTGGCATATGAGACTCGAACCCAGGACATTCGATCTCGCGCGAATGCTTAATTTCTAAACCACTGAGCCAACATCCAACTTTGGTAATGTCTAACTTCAATCAATTCACGACATTGTGTGATCATCTTCCATTTTCTTCACTGAGAACCTCTCTAGCACCCGACACGATTTAGCTCCACTAGTCACAGTTTCGTAGTAGAGCTTCAGAAATTCCCTCTCGAAGCTAGTCACTAGTGAACACTTGATAAATATCGTATTCTAATTTTCACAGATTTTGTGTGAGGTGAAGACGGTAGGTGGTTAGTTTATCCACTATTCAGCTAAGTGGTACAAAGTTCTAACAGTAACTTTGTAAAATAAGAAAACCATATATTAAATACATCATTCGCATATCTCCCTTCATTTGTCCCTTACATACTTTGTCATTCTTTCGATCCTATCGTTATTTTCCTTCCTTCTCACTTTGTTTCACTCTTCTGCTGATAAGCATTCTACTTCCGATTCCCGCTACATACTACTCATGTCTGTCCACGTAACTAGTGCACACTACAGTATCACTAATTATAAAAACACAATTCATAAATGTGTACTTGGTAAATGAGTTGGTTACGTCAAAGAAACTCTGTAAGTTATCGCTCGTAAATTGCAAAAGTGATTGTTGTTCTTTTGTGATTCATGATTCCTTCCATATCTGCTACCCATAGATTGGAATTTATTGAATCCTAATAATAAAGGTATTTAACATGTGATTCTTACTGCAATTCCTCTCTCATAGAAGTAATTTCTCTTAAACGTTTTGTTGGTGAGTTCACAATCACATTTCACTCCTAATTACGACAGTATTTTAGGAGTAACAGACTACTTTCAGATGTATCATTCAAATGAATGAATAGCAAAACTCCTAATTGGTTGAGATTAAAACTGTGTCATAAACAATCCAAAGGACAGTACTTTTCAAATTAAATATTCTAGAAAGTGATTATTAACAGAATCTAGGGTTCATGTTTCGTCGCCTTTATAACTCTTCAGTTGGATTTAGTTGAATAACATAGAGCTGATGTTCACAGCCTATGTATACAAACAAGTTGGTTCACATTGTGAATTCGTTTTAGATAATATGTTTTCGCATGCCTAAATCCTGAAATTCTTATTATCTACAAGACAATAACTATTTCATACAATTTAATACTATCTGCATATAGAAAATGAAAATAATTTAAGTAAAGAAATGAAAACTCAAGAAATGCTACTTGAAAAGTTGATTGAGGCTAATCGTTTTGAAGAGGAAACAATTCGAGCAACTATTTATAAAATGGAAAGTGATATTGAGTCGAAAATTTCTAAATATGATCAAGAAATGACAATCTTGCAGGTATTAATGTTAAATTATGAGTTTTTTTGTTGTTGAATATAATTTTTTAACATTAAGCTAACATTTTTTATCAAGAAAAGATTTTATCAAGCTTAACCTAACAACTAAAAAATACATCTGAAAACCCTAATTCCAAATAAGTTAAAATGTCAGCGATAGAAATTTAAATAACTCCAACGTTTCGTCCAGCAAACTTGTCTAAACTTCTTCAGGATAATAATCGAAATCAAGATCATCAAAGAAATATATAGTGTTTAATAATCAACTCAAATCTATATTGTGCTAATTCAATCATATTTAGATGCTGACTTTAGTAAATAGGATAGCGTTTAACTTACTCGTGTTGATTTTGGAATTTATTATATTAAAAGTCTATCGGGAAGAACCTTTGAGCATCTGTTAATTCAATAAAAGATACTGGAATCAAATGGTTTTTCGTAAAATTGTAGTTTAAGTTCCTAACAGATACCACTACTTCCTTTAAGGTAAATTGCAACTCAAGTCCAATTACCTCGGAAGGAGCATATTCTTTTAGTTTTTCTACATATCTTGTTAATCCTTCCTTAAGTATATTCTCGAGCCATCTATCATTAAAACATGTTCCAAGACACTTTGCTGTTTTAATTTTCTTCATTCTGTTGACAACAGACAAGCATCTCTTACTGGAGTATGATGAGAGTTTGCATTATGTACCTCAGAACTAACTGATATTGCTTGTTATAATTTGAATTTCAGACCTTTGGCTCCATACCAAAGGAACTTATGGTATCTTTTAACTTCTAATGAAATGTTATGAATACGACGAAGCTTAATTATTTTATAGAACTAAACAATATTGAAAGTAACGAAAGTTTTTCCCGGGCTAAATTTGTACTACTAGTCATTTATAGCTAAATCTTACCCATACACGTCAAATTGGTCAGTGTTTTTCAGTATGAGTTAACAAAACCTCATAAAGGAGGTCAAATCCTCTTTAGCGTTTCATAAACAGTTTGACTGTGATAATTTTGCCAGCGATACAGAACTAATAAATACTAGTTAATTCCGCTCATTTATCAATTCCAAATCTATGTTCTTAGTTTAGATTTTAACTTTAGATGTGAGGGTAAATTGACACTACTTAAATGTCTAAATCGAACTAAATCCGTGAACTGAAATTCAATCGTGAGACTTATTAGTTTAATATTCAGTATTATATTCACTGAATCACAGCACTGCCTGTAATACAGCACTTTAGGAAAATAGGAATTTACATCTGTATATTTTGAATGAAAATCAATTTATTGTATTGTAGGATGAATATGATGCCCTGGAAGCGGAGTATATAGAGGAGAAAAGCGCTTACGATGAATTGAATGAACGTTTTCAGGTAGGACAAAATTGTCTACTAGAAGTGAAATTTAATGTTTTTAAATGATATATTATAATGATATATTATAAGAAGCACTTTAAAAGTCACACTACGAGATGAGTTAATAAATTTTCGTATGCCAGAAATATATTCTTACCTAATATGAGGATTTATAGGCTTGTAAGAGATTGAGAAAAGTGTATCCACAAATGAAATATGTCTGCATGGTAATACTTCAACTCTACAATTTAATAGAAGGGTAATCTAACAAAAATGAGGGGAATTTTATTTAATAACCCAATAAAACAAATATTTGGTGAGTAAAGAATTGTTCCTGTACACATAAGAGGCACTGAAATCATATTAATTTGCCTACATTTCTTATGTGGAGCGTCTCAAATTTTATCATAGATTAGAATGGTTATCAATTTATATCTGAAATCTGCTACTCATGAAAGATGCAAAATCCTCCGTAGCCTAACTGTCATAGGTAATCTTATACTTTGAATTATAATGGAAACTATCTATTAGACAAGTCTTTTTTTACCTTTCCTGCCTTTAAACAAAGTGAAGAGAATGATGTGTACTATCAAACTGCAGATGAATAGTAGGGAAGTTGATTCATTAAAAATCAACCAAAAAAATTTATCGGCAGACCAATTCAATGGAATGTTTTAGCGAACAAAATTAAGTCTAGAAATCAACACCTACATTAATCCTATTCAAATAACTGGGACCATCTTTAAACAAATATTTCTAAGCATTATTCATTGAAAGACAGAGCTTCCTATGTAGTTCATATTTAGATTAGCTAGTCGTTAAGATGTTTGTATGTAGCTGCCTTGAAGTACAGATCAAACCAAACTATTACACAATTTTGAACAGTATGTTCAAATAATAAATCTTTTACCCGTCTCTTAAATTGATAGTTATGCTGACAAATATATACTTCAACGTAGTCTTAGTGAAAAAAGTTTAGACACTCACTAATCACTGATAGTTATCGGTGCATTATTGACCTTGTTCGTTCCACATCATTCTTGACTATTTACTATTTGCATTCCAGCAACTTCTACTCTCCATTGAATTCTGATGCAGTTATTATGCTAATTATTTAAGAAAATTACAAAATCTTCTAGGAATATCTAGAGTTCGGCAATTAAGTTTCTGTAAAATTTTCTATACGACTGACTGGAAATAATGATACTTATTTGTATAGGAATTTTATGATCATTGTTTAATAACTGCTGAAGCGATCCATCCTCGTGAAAGTAGTTGGTGCTATTATCCCCAGGTTCAGTAAAGTTCTCGAAGTAGTGCTTAGTGGTTGAAAGAGCTCATTATTATATACGATTTAAAACAGAAAGATTTTTATGGAAAATTCTCTTCAACGAAATCTGATGCCAACAGTATATGAATTAGTAGCTGGATCGAAATTTAGAACATCCGACAGCATTCTCAGACTATGTTTAGGGTTAAGAACAGCTAAAACAATTGGTTGACATGGTAAAAACCCATGACACGTCTTCGGCATTAGACTTCGTCAGTGTAAACTAGTAGGTAGTTTCTGGATTCCCAGTGAGAAGCCACAGCCAGTAGATATTAACCGTGTCGAGTGTGAGACAGTTATCGGCTGCAGGCAATGGAGGATGGTCGCGCAATCTCGTGAATTGACATGTGAAACGTTAGATGCCTGTTTTTAATGGCCTTAGAGGTTAAGCGTTCGCACGCGAGACCGAAGGGCCTGGCTTCGATCTCTAGTAATAGAGTGGTGAATTCTCACTGCGGAGAGGTCCAACACTAGTACGAAATAACTTTTCAGTGTTTCTTACTCTTCACTGCCTGTCTATCTAGGATCAATTTGTGATTTAATTATGAAAATCTCACAATATCTACAAGTGACATACTAAAAATCAAATTTTCCACTTGGAATATTCGGCTTTCCTGACAACATACCATTTATTTTGCATAATTTATAATATGAACAGTGTTCGTCCGTTATTGTTGATAAACTTAAACTGAGAAGAGATTACTCAGAATTTGATACAGTTTATTAGTTCAATTATCATCTTTAACATACGCGTACCTTTCCGTAAAACTGACAGATTTTATGTAGTGTTAATTAAGAGATTGACAGAAAAGTTATCTGGGGCAATTTTCCACTTAATGATCTAAAATATATATAACCTATCATCATATATTTGTGTTTTAAGTCGGTCTCATCGACGGGGAATTATCGATACTTTACTATTTTGTACTTCTTGGATAGTTTACTAAACTTTGGACATTTATCTCATAACTTTGTACAATTCACTCATTTCACATTTATGAAAGTTTAAGGATTTGACTTGATGAATATTTCTTGAAGTAAAATTCCCCACTTTCAGAATTTAATTGATCTGACAAAAGTTAACCACAATAAATTGTAGGCTGTAACACATAGGTATGAAAAAATATAGTCCATTAATTGCATACAGGCAATTAGGTTGAGATATCCAAGTAACTAGCTATTGTTAAGTGTGATATCATACATTTCGCGACAAAAAGCCCACTACTTGAAAAAATGTTAAGCATCAAAAGATATTTTAAATCATTAATAATGGCCATCCAATTAATTAGGGTTATTTGAATTTAGATTATAAATGAAGAGTATCAAAAGATAATGGAAGAACGTAGGCTAGAAGATGAAAGACGACAAAGAGAGGAAGAACAAAGACGTCAAATGGAACAAGCCGTTACAACAATACAAGCATTTTGGAGGTCATATAAAACAAGAAAACTGGCACGTGGAAGAAAAGGAGGTAGTAGAAAAGCGAAGAAGTAATTAATAAAACAGTTTCAAAACACTGCTCAACTGGGATTAAAAAGGTGAACATGAAGACTTATTTAGAACTCGACTGTTTAACACTAAATACATTCATTAAATTATTAGCCCATAATGAAAAGGCAGGTTAGTCATGTGATCCGTAAAAATTATGTGTAAAACACCAAACCTTTGATGAACTTACATTCTATTTACCGATTATTTAATTAATTAACTACATTTCATGTTATTCACCAATATTTATTGTATGTAACAGTAATGAACAACATATTGTTGAACATGTGGTACATTTCTGCATTTCAGTTCTATGTAATCAACCCTGAGTCACATTATTTGTATCCAAGTTACCGAAAATATTGGACAGTCCAAGTCAAAGTGGTGTAACTGCTTATCTACATAGACAATTTCGTTTAGATTCAAATTCGCTATTTTTATGGATTACTGTAATTCAACATATAGGTGATATGATATTAGAAATGATAAATTATATTCATAATACCTGTAAAAAGCAACAAAATTATACACGTTAATACTGGGAAGAAATAGAGAAAAGAATGTGAGCACGGTAAAAATGAATAGAAATTAGTGTATGACAGTGAAAAGAATGATAACAATAGTGATAATAATATTATTATTGTTATGATGGGAGAGGCCGTTAAAAAAATACTATCATGAAGGATCCCTCCAGCCAAAAATGTTCCTCTCACCTTTATGAAGTAAAAGAAAGTTACAGTAGGATTTCCACTGCCTTATATTCTGAGTCGTCTGATAATGTCTCAAGCCATTCTGTCGCACTATTTCTAAGACCCTACCAAGGAGTCTTGAAGGACCAACACATGCCATTCCTGTACAGCTTTCTTCTATACCACAACACGCTATACATTGATCATTTTTCCGCTTTTTCTAACCAGTCCGAGCATCGGAAAATAGCGCACGACATGGAATTCTCTGGTACAACATTCGTAAGACATGTCCAAGCCACCGGAGTCGATGTTTCAAAATAGTGACACCAACTGAAGTATCGCCATTGTGCCCGAACACATGTTGCCGGACCTCGGTATTACTAATATTGTGTTACTACTGAATTTCAGAAATCCTTCGGAGACAACGATGATCAAACACAGAGAGTTTTCTAACATCCTCAACTTAGAGAGACCAGGTCTCATAAGCATGGAGCAAAACTGCTCTCACCGACGCGGTGTAGATCCGGCCAAATTGACATCACAAAGGCTCTAAAGATGGTCAAGATTGACATAAGCCGATCTGGCTTTCATTATACGTGAATCGACCCCATCATCCACGCCATCACCACCACTTATGCAGATACCCAAATACGCGAACTTCTCAAATATTATCTGCTCACTATCCATGGTGAGTGCAAGTTCATGGTCCTGCCAGTCTTGTAAAAGTACTTTACACTTAGAAGATGCAAAGCACATATACCTACGGAAACTAACTGACGACTGATTAAATGCAGATTGCATGGCTTGGGCATCATCGCATAGTAAAACAATAGTATCCACATATTCAAGGTTGAAAAGTCTTTCTCCAGTCAACCGATCCATACCACCATTACCTACATCCATCAGAAATATTTCCAGAGCGTCATCGATAGCGAAGCTGAAGAGGAATGGTGAAATTGGGCAATCCTGCCTAAACCTACTGAATGAATTGAGCAATGGAGATGGCTTTGTGAGCTCACTCAGCCTGAGGTGTTTGTATATAGGGACTTCAATATGTTATGCAGATTCTCAGACATACAATTCTTCAATAGACAATCACAGAGAACAGTCTTGTCCAACAAACCGAAGGCAGCCCTGATGTCAAGAAACAATACGAATGTTGGCCTGTGATAAGTATGACGGTGTTCTGACATTTGTCGGAGGACGAAGATATGATCAATACATCCTCGACCGGAATGGGAACCAGCCTGCTCCTCGCGAGTCAAGCTTACTCTGGTTTTGAACAATCTATCAAGTATGACGAAAGTCAACAGTTTGGACGCAATTGGAAGTGGACTTATCCGCCAATAGTTGTCCCATAAATGATATGAACACTTTTTAAAGATAGGAACAACTATCGATTCACTCCATGATGTTAGAACACTCTCTAATTGCCAGACCTGTGTAAATGACTCCGTCAGTTCCTTAACAAGAAAGTTACCACCATCTTTAAAGTGGCCGGAGTTGAGTCATCTGGACCTGGTGATTTGTAGAGCTTCAAGAGTTGGAGTTCCTTGCGAACTTCCGCCTCGTTTGGTGGATCAGTCGTCACAGGCCATGGAGGGCAGTGTAGTCCGATCTATGTGGCCGGGGAGGCAGACCAGTTGAACTGCTCCTCGAAAAACTCTTCCCATCATCCATGATATCGGTAGGCGTTATTGATTGACATCCTGTTAGCTCCGCAGTTTGTTTCACACTAGACATCTTACTGCCAGTGACTCTGATGAGTTGAAAGAGCTTTCATCCCCAGACTTTTTGGTCTTTGCTCAAGCTTGACACAATTACATTATGTAACAAACTTCGTTTATGGTCAGACTAGCGGCCATCCGGAGTAGACCGATGTGCTTCAATAAGCTATAAGGAACCTCTAAAAACCCAATGCTTGTAAGCGGGAATTTTTGCGAAGCCGCACACGACTTTACTCGCCATTTTCATGGCGTCATGCAATTGCAACCAATGCTCATCCATACCTTTCGGTGGGTTGTTATTTAGCATTGAGCCTATCTCAGTTTGGTATTTAGTTGCAACAGAAGCTGCAACCAATTTGATGACATTGATCCATATGGGACGATGAATCTGTTGACCACTGAAATGTAAGGTAAGATTAGCGCAAACAAGGGCATGATCAGAGTATTGTACACATCCATGATAGCGGTAGCTGATCGTGATGTGACCAATCTGAGTCCAGGCTTGAAATATAGAGGGAGGATGCCAGGTAGCACATCGGCGATGACTGTGCCGGTAGTTAGTGCTAGCCAGAAACAGGTTGTAGTCTGCGCAAGATTGCAGCAGACGGTCATCGACATCTGACCTGTAAACAAGTCCCCATCGGTCGCCTGAACGACTCTCTTCTGTGCCTAGACGCCAGAACTGAGGATTCAAGTCTTCGGCCAGTACTACAATGTTTGTCGAACGCACCCTCTGTAAAAGAACTGTTAACTGGTAGTAAAACTCATCCTTGATAGCATCTGATCTGTAACATGTCGGACTGTAGGCGGAGATGACGAATGAACATTGTTTCTCGTACTGATTTCTCCGTATTTTGGTGGAACTTTCTAATCTGACAGCATATAACCGACTGTTAACGGGGAACCGATCGGTCAGTGCTGCCTCCGCTCTAGTGCTTAGCGCCACACCGACACCAACAAAACCAGACGAAGATGCCACAGTGTCCTAGGATAGACGCACGTGAAACAAGCTTTTCAAGGCGACAGATGGAAAGAGAACTTGTAGTAATTCACTAGAATCTTGAATACGGGTCTCGGATAGACAACAGATATCGATACTAAGGCTTTCTAAAGACATAGACAACCCTTCTTGTTGTTTGATTTGTATTAGTGTGCGAACGTTGAAGGAAGCCAGTCTGAATAGTGTACGTGGTTTCGTAAAATCTTTCCATATTTGTAGTCGGTGGTAGCACCCAACTTTCGATCAGTCAGTGACTTGAAATCATTTAGATAGGATTCTCACCATGGGTGAGCTACTGTATAAGTTGAAAGATAAAATACACAAAATGAGTACATAAGTGATGTAGTGTAAATGAAATAAAAGCGAATGTTATCATATGATTGTGAATAAGACTTGTCTGAACGAGCGTGGAAGCACGAGTGATTTCTTCCAGTAGTAATTATCATCGGTTTGTGTGTGGGTTGTGATACTGTGTGGGTCCCCGAACTGAAGCAGGCGGTTTTCTTAGGGGACCACAACCGGAACGTTTGACCTAGGGGTCCAATCCACAAGGCAGTGAAGCAACGTTAGAAGATGCAGTCCCATGGTAGCCGGTGACCAACAATAGGTTCATACACCATTTGCTCCCTCAGGATCCTGGAGCCCATGTTCGACATTGGTTTTAAAACAAGGTTTTTCAACTCCCCTAAGTGGATCTTCAGTTCCCTTCAAGAACAGTTAAAAACATAGTTTCAAACGTCCAGTGAAATGTTTATTCTCAAAATATACCATAATTTTTCGAGTTCAGTACCAATTCGCAATGTTTACTACCCCATTAATTTTATCTCGTATGTCTATTTTTAACAGTGAAGCTTGTTGGATTCTGTTATAACGGTAGGATGTCTTGTTGTAATGCTAGATTTTCTTTTTAAAACAGTCCTTTCACTTTTCACACGTATGTGGGACGTTAATTTGCCACAGACGAATATCTACACTAGATCCCCTCCCAGTGTCTATTCTACAGCGCTTCAACACAACTCATATCAAGAACAGGTGATTAGCATGACTAGAACGTCAATATATTTCCACACCCAAATCCGACACAATCCAACAACAAATAAGAATTGATCAATAATAATATTAATAAGTACTAAGGATAGGGGAATATATAACAAATTAACACCTGTCACACTATCTACATGTCTGACTAAGCAAAACAACCAATCATTATCATTCTCACCCACATATCGGATTTCCGACAGAATAAGAGGTTATTAGACAATTAATAGATTATGTAAGTTAAACGTTCTCTCATTATGTTATCCATGATAGCCATTACAAAAAGAACTTTTAAGTGAAACACATGTGCACTATGAAAGGCCATCCACAGTGACCGACAAAATATTCATCAGCACGAGAAAAGTTTCACGAAATACACCGTATCTAAAAGTTTCAAAAAGCCATTGGCTGTGAGTCTTCCGTTCATTTGTAGATGATAGATGGATTTTATCCAGCTAAAAGGTGGCTGACAGATCATAATCATGAGCGGCTGCATGTTTATATTTTTGTGCTATGTAGATTATTATTAACGGTCCAGTCATACATTTTGCAATCTAAACAGAAAATTCTGCATACACACTCTCGTACAAAATGTATATCATGTATAGCATAGTAAAGATCCAGTTGACCGACTCAATTATTAGTACGAGGTTCTACAAGAGTGAGATTTAGATAATGCATTTTCTCAGTTATTATGATAAATTTCCGTAGACAAATTAACGCATAAAATGGAAAATTGACATTATATTAAAAAAATTACCGCATTGTTGAAAGTAGACTCTTCATTAACGGGGTTTAAACTGTATTTTTGATTAATCATAGGAGGAAAGAAGTGAAGAGTAGGTTGTAACATTAAATCAAACAAACTTCACACACTTAATGACGGCCTTCTATGCATGTAATTCTGTCATTTTTGTCACTTTTACCTAAACTTATGTATGTTATTGTGTGCTTTGTTTGTGAATTAGATACAAACCCATTAAAAGATTCCCATATCGAGAAGGCTGATGACTGTCACCCCGAATTCGTTAATTTGGTTTACATTTATGGTTTTTATGCTCGTATACCAATGCCTGAAATAAATTCTCCCAAAAAACTCGTATTTGATATTCCGCTACCGCCATTCCACAATGGGGTTAACTCAAGTATGATATACGTAACTAAGTGGGGAATTATATTTCAATATCATTTTCATCTTATGTAATCAAAGGAAAACTGAAACCTTCAAGTGAAAAAGCGTGAGTTAGGATTCCAAGACATTACCACTGAAGAAAGAAAGACGAAAATCAACTAAGTTATAAACCCCCTTTACAAACTTCAGTACTGAATGAATAAGGCTAAAATCCATAACTTAATGAGCGGACTAAAAAGTGTCAGGAAGATACCACAACCAAAAAGTAAAGATAAATAACTTACGATAAATTAAAATGAGGAAGAAATGAAAACTTTGTATCAGAAAAATCATATTTTATGTACATTGGTGTATGTATACAACCTAAATTCCCATAAAAGATTAGTTACACTGTTCTACATTAACTGCCACTTAGATGGAACAATTGTTTTGACTGGTTCTTCACTCTTGTTCAAGTCTCCCAAAGATTCAAGTTTTTTCTTTTGCAACTCTTCATATTCGTGCTGCCAATAAGCTTTGTTTCGTGGATGCACCATTCTTGAGTAATATGGATCCCATACCATACCTTGACGGATTTTTGAAAGGATCTGTAATTAAAAAAAAAAGAAAATCATTAGTAAGATATTTTATTAAATATAGTACTAATATCTAAGTCGAAAAGATTATAAAACCTATTTAATGCATGCGATAACGGTAAACGAATGTGAACTTTAGACCCTGTTATTTTAACGATACTACAAACAAACCGCTCAAGCACATATTTTGGGCGATTTTCGCTAATTTTATTCGGAACAAAACACAAACATTACAACGATTTAAGACAAATGAATAGGGAAAAAATATACATTTAAAGTGTTATTAAAGTAAAATTAAGCTTACTTGATAACGATTTCTCAGTTTATATGGTCCTGCTTTAGGTCTAAGTGAATACGGATAAGGGATGTCATCCCAGTCGGGTGTAGTACGAAGTGTTTCAATAAGGCTTGGATACATGACACGTTTTTCTTCATCTGACATACTGTCATAATCTATCCCGATGGCATCCAACTCTTCAATATGCGATGTCTCCTTCAGTTGTATACCACCATCCAACAAGGACTTGTAGAAAGCCTTAGTCTATTTTTACCTAAAATATGAACGACAGAGAACATACGCTTTCGTTTTCTTTATGGAACTCGCTTGTTTCTGAAAATAACTCCGTGAGACCGCATTGGTGACATCGTAAGGCTAACACTCTTCCAATATTTTCTGCAGCTGAAACGTCAATACAACTAAAACATGTAGCATTTTCAAAAATAATACCTATATAAATGTTTTCTGATGCTAACTTCTTTAGTTGAAGCAGAGATTAACACTTTTGAAGAAGCATGAACAACAAGACCAGTTGTATTATGAGGTTCTCTATTTAAGACTACTCTGGATTAATATAAAGTAAAATATATTAATAAAAATCACTTATTCCAGAAATCTTTTCGTGGAGCCTGGAGTTCCCAACCTTTTGTTTTCGGTGCCAGACCAAGAAGTTCAAGATTTCTATAACTATGTCTTCCGTGAAATAGTTTTCTAACCTTGGATTTTTGTTACGATACACCAAAGTAGACATCATTTTTAAGGAAAATCTTGTTGACACATTTGCAAAAGCACAGGAATTAAACAGATTATTTGGCATGATTTGTCCCTTCCAAATAATGAGGATTTTTAAAATCTGAGGAACATACCACAAACATCAACACAGCAGAACTATCAAGAAAAATTCACGTTATTGCAGTGGATTATACAAAATTGTGAACATATATAGAGCTGAAAGAGAAGTAACATGGTATTCAACTTGTTAATTATGAATAGTTCGTCATATCATACAACTATTACTTGGCATCCAACCCAATAATAATAAAACACTATTACGTTTTCACAAGGATCTGTAATCAAAAGAAAAAAGTGAGTACTCAATGTCAGACATCTGAATGGTGATTTCAGAAGAGCAATACAGACAAAAAAACCATATACTCACCATCAGAAACCAAAAAGATGTCTGTCTCCGGCTTCAGACGGTTATAAACCAAATAAAAAACACGGATAGCCTGTTTTTAACTTGTTTTTCGTCCGAGTTTATGCACTAGAGTCCAGGAGGTGAAGAAGGGTTACTAGGCAATGAGATCACCGACTGTCGGTCTAAGCTGTCAGCAAGTCCAGAAATCCTAGCTAGAACCTAAGGGATAACTGTAATCTTGGGATGAGTTACGTGGCCCAAAATCAGTGGATGTGGTGCAGTGGCTTTCTTTCTTATTTTGCCTTAGATCATAAATATCCCATTATTCCTAAACTGCCATTCTTAAAACTAATTTGTTACTATCAAACTGTTTCTCACGCCACATAATTAATTGTAGTTCATACTACTTCCCTTTTTATCTTAAACTCGCGAATTTATCATACGTCAAATACGAATGATATTTTTTTAAATGTCCACATCTTTGCTGGAAAAAAAGTAGTAAGTTCACATTTATCAGTCAGTCAGCTACAACGTAGGACCAGGCACATTTATGAATCGGTCCAAGTTACAATACCTCGTTAGCACAACAAGATGAAAACCAGATTCATAGTAGTTAATTTAGTGCTAGTAGCATATAAAACATAGGTTGTATATAGGGATATAGTATAGGAAGGAAGACAGATACGAAGTAAATTTAATCTCAAGGTTTAAGAGAAGATAAAGATTGTATACACCTACGCCAATTTGATCAATTTTGGAAATGTCACATAGAGTCCCCAAACATAGGTTACGATATTCACGCGGACCCCAACCAAGTAGTCTACATCTGCCAACAGGGCTCAGACGAGGAGTTAGTGAGTTCAAGCAATGACGTCACGTTTTGGTTTGCCCGCCCCTAACTTTTTTCTAAAAACCCCCTACACTAGTCACCATAGCGAATCGTATTCATCAGTGTTCAGGCACAGGTAACACGTGACCTAACCATCTCAGTCGATGAAGATTCATCACCTAATCAATTGATTTACCATCATTCCCTAATACCTCCATATATCTGGCGACCCCATGACTAGTTCTCGTGGACTTACAGGTGTAAGCATAGCACTTAGTACAAGGGCAGAACAAGCACTACTAGAATGGATCCCCGTTAACAGTCGCCTGTGTGCTGTCCGACTAAATGGCTCCGTAAGAACTCGAAAGGATAGGGACACACGTCGTTGCCTTTTCATTGTTCCTGCCTACGCTCCCACTGACTGCAGCCATGATGAAGTGAAAGATGACTTTTACAGAAAGCTCTCTGAACTTCTTCAAAAAGCTAAGCGCCCAGACACAGTACTCGTAGCGGGTGACTTTAATGCCCAACTAGGCAGCTTAAATCAAACAGAAAGACATTTGGGTGGGTATTTTAGTATTCCGGCACAACGAACCGATAATGGTGATCGTCTGTTGCAACTATGTTCAAACAATCGTTTATTTTTAGCAAGCACTAATTTCAAGCATAAGGAGAGACATCGCCTAACATGGCGACTACCTGCACCAAACTAACCATGGACTCAAATAGACCATATTGCTATTAGTCATCGTTGGAGAGGCTCGATAGAAGACTGTCGCTCGTATTGGAATACTTGTTTAGACTCTGATCACGCTTTAATACGAGCATGCATTTGTCTGCGCCTCACTGGACGCAGGAAAACTACACTAAGAAGACCCATTAGGATTGAACTGGAGCACGAGAAAGCCAAATGTAAATTCCAGGAACAACTGAGTTCACATCTAGGCAGTTCTGTGAACGAGACTGACCCAGATGCTGCTTGGAAAGACATACGAACAGCTGTGGAAACAACAGTCACATCTATTAGTAATTTAAACCATAGGGTTCCAAAAAACCAATGGATTTCTTCCAAGTCTATTTCACTGATGGATTCGCGTAAACTCATCCCATCAGGCTCTGAACACGACGAAGAGCGTAAACAAATCAGATCTAGGTTGACTAAAAGTCTAAGGAACGATCGTGAGCAGTGATGGGCAACGAAAGCAAAAGAGATGGAAAAGGCAGCGGCTGTAGGCAACACCAGGCAACTCTTCAGACTAATAAAAGAAACCAGAATTAATAAGTCAAGTGTAAGTGAAACGATCTCGGAAAAAGACGGAACTCTTATCTGCTCTCAGCCCAGATGTTTAGAACGATGGGCAGAACACTTCAAGAAGCAGTTCAGCTGGCCTTCAGCTACTGCACAACTACCCACCATTCCCAGACAGTCTGAATGGAACATTGAAGTAGGCCCCCCGACCCTACCTGAAGTTCAAAAGGCTATAACTAATGTGAAACGAGGGAGAGCAGCTGGCCGAGATGGATTGGCTCCAGAGGTCTTTAAATATGGTGGCCCAATTTTAGCGACTAGGTTGACTAATATTCTGGCTAAAATCTGGGAGACGGATGTAATCCCTTCCGACTGGTCACAATCACTGATTGTCCCAATATATAAAAAGGGGTCAAAGTCATCCTGCGATAACCATAGAGGGATTAGTCTGACTAATATAGCATCTAAAATACCTGCCTCAATAATTATCGGGCGCCTAACTAAGACTCGTGAACTGCAAACACGAGAAAATCAGGCTGACTTCAGACCTGGTCGTGGCTGCATCGACCACATATTCACTATTCGTCAGGTTTTAGAACACAAGCATGCTTATCGGCGTCCAACAATGATGGTTTTTCTTGACTTTAAAGCAGCATTTGACTCTGTAGATCGAAAGGTTCTATGGCAGTGTCTGTCATTGAAAGGTGTACCCGAGAAGTACATAAACCTTGTGAAGGCTCTTTACTCGAACACTACCAATCGAGTGAGAGCTTATGGTGAACTGTCATCTGATTTTACAATCTCAAGTGGTGTCCGACAAGGTTGTCCACCATCCTCATTTTTGTTTAACTTCATTATAGACCTATTGCTGGAAATAACACTCTTCGACTGAATTTTCAGGGAATGATCTCCTACCAGGGGGTCCACTAATCGACTTAGAATACGCAGATGACATAGTCCTGTTTGGTGATAAGTGAAGTTGTCGACGCGTTCGACTACTTCACTCCCTATCTTTAATTCAGGTGTTGATGCAGGTCAGTCCTAGAGTAACAATTTACATTTAGATGGGGAGAAACGCATCCCAAATATCTGCGTATTCTAAGTCGATTAGTGGACCCCCTGGTAGGAGATCATTCCCTGAAAATTCAGTCGAAGAGTGTTATTTCCAGCAATAGGTCTATAATGAAGTTAAACAAAAATGAGGATGGTGGACAACCTTGTCGGACACCACTTGAGATTGTAAAATCAGATGACAGTTCACCATAAGCTCTCACTCGATTGGTAGTGTTCGAGTAAAGAGCCTTCACAAGGTTTATGTACTTCTCGGGTACACCTTTCAATGACAGACACTGCCATAGAACCTTTCGATCTACAGAGTCAAATGCTGCTTTAAAGTCAAGAAAAACCATCATTGTTGGACGCCGATAAGCATGCTTGTGTTCTAAAACCTGACGAATAGTGAATATGTGGTCGATGCAGCCACGACCAGGTCTGAAGTCAGCCTGATTTTCTCGTGTTTGCAGTTCACGAGTCTTAGTTAGGCGCCCGATAATTATTGAGGCAGGTATTTTAGATGCTATATTAGTCAGACTAATCCCTCTATGGTTATCGCAGGATGACTTTGACCCCTTTTTATATATTGGGACAATCAGTGATTGTGACCAGTCGGAAGGGATTACATCCGTCTCCCAGATTTTAGCCAGAATATTAGTCAACCTAGTCGCTAAAATTGGGCCACCATATTTAAAGACCTCTGGAGCCAATCCATCTCGGCCAGCTGCTCTCCCTCGTTTCACATTAGTTATAGCCTTTTGAACTTCAGGTAGGGTCGGGGGGCCTACTTCAATGTTCCATTCAGACTGTCTGGGAATGGTGGGTAGTTGTGCAGTAGCTGAAGGCCAGCTGAACTGCTTCTTGAAGTGTTCTGCCCATCGTTCTAAACATCTGGGCTGAGAGCAGATAAGAGTTCCGTCTTTTTCCGAGATCGTTTCACTTACACTTGACTTATTAATTCTGGTTTCTTTTATTAGTCTGAAGAGTTGCCTGGTGTTGCCTACAGCCGCTGCCTTTTCCATCTCTTTTGCTTTCGTTGCCCATCACTGCTCACGATCGTTCCTTAGACTTTTAGTCAACCTAGATCTGATTTGTTTACGCTCTTCGTCGTGTTCAGAGCCTGATGGGATGAGTTTACGCGAATCCATCAGTGAAATAGACTTGGAAGAAATCCATTGGTTTTTTGGAACCCTATGGTTTAAATTACTAATAGATGTGACTGTTGTTTCCACAGCTGTTCGTATGTCTTTCCAAGCAGCATCTGGGTCAGTCTCGTTCACAGAACTGCCTAGATGTGAACTCAGTTGTTCCTGGAATTTACATTTGGCTTTCTCGTGCTCCAGTTCAATCCTAATGGGTCTTCTTAGTGTAGTTTTCCTGCGTCCAGTGAGGCGCAGACAAATGCATGCTCGTATTAAAGCGTGATCAGAGTCTAAACAAGTATTCCAATACGAGCGACAGTCTTCTATCGAGCCTCTCCAACGATGACTAATAGCAATATGGTCTATTTGAGTCCATGGTTAGTTTGGTGCAGGTAGTCGCCATGTTAGGCGATGTCTCTCCTTATGCTTGAAATTAGTGCTTGCTAAAAATAAACGATTGTTTGAACATAGTTGCAACAGACGATCACCATTATCGGTTCGTTGTGCCGGAATACTAAAATACCCACCCAAATGTCTTTCTGTTTGATTTAAGCTGCCTAGTTGGGCATTAAAGTCACCCGCTACGAGTACTGTGTCTGGGCGCTTAGCTTTTTGAAGAAGTTCAGAGAGCTTTCTGTAAAAGTCATCTTTCACTTCATCATGGCTGCAGTCAGTGGGAGCGTAGGCAGGAACAATGAAAAGGCAACGACGTGTGTCCCTATCCTTTCGAGTTCTTACGGAGCCATTTAGTCGGACAGCACACAGGCGACTGTTAACGGGGATCCATTCTAGTAGTGCTTGTTCTGCCCTTGTACTAAGTGCTATGCTTACACCTGTAAGTCCACGAGAACTAGTCATGGGGTCGCCAGATACACTAGGGGTGTATTTTGTTGACTGTCCATTTTGGCGAGGTGAGGTTGAGTGAATGATCACACTGGGATCCTGTATGTGTGTTTCGGAGACCCATCATACATCGATGGTACGAGATTCTAGGGTCTTAGCCAAGGAGGCGTGTTGACCGATTTTACTTAGGGTACGTACGTTGAAGGCTCCAATGTGTAGTTTGGAGCGAGATTTTAGAAGACCTGCGACAGTGTTTTGCACACTAGAATCGTTGGCCATAGTGACACTCGAGGAGGAAACCGAAAGAGGAAGTTTAGTGTTGAAATTCGAGGTAGAAGAAATAGCAGGAAGTGAAGAAGGAGATTGATTATGAATACAGTGGTCTTGAGTGCTGTTAGAAGTATGAGGGCAGTTATCACTTTCCGGTTGCCCACACCGTGGAAAGGTTCTTCTAGAGGTACCTGAAAAGTGAGTTGGGTTAGAAGTGGTCTTAATGATCTGAGAGCGTGACCGCAGTACCCAAGGGACAACTGCTTGAAGTTGGTCACATAAGACATTTTGTGGGTAGTTTTTGTGTTAGCTCCGTACTTGTTGTGACCTTACCGCCAGAGACGGATATACGTGGGATAAGGCGAGGTGTGCATTTTTAGGGTCAACCTTTTCTAACCCCATCCCTCCTTGTGGGAAGGCAGCATCGCTGTTATGCTGGTTATCTGAAGGAAACACCTTACTGCTGTCACACCTCTGTACAGTCAGCAGTACGACTCCGCCTTCGGACCTTGGGTTTGCTGCTTTTAGTCTTACCGCTCTTCAACCGACCTGCCTGGCATGGTAGGACCTTGGAGAACGGTTGTTACAGCCAGTATAGCTCGATTGGTTCATCACATCACGAAATTTATAATATTGGCTTATATATTATCTATGTTATCGACAATTAAGTCATTATTATTAGTCTGTACAATAAAACGGACATTAAGAATAGAGTTTATTCCCAAAGAGTATCTTCAAATAAGTCTCGATTTTTTATTAACTGAAACAAGTATGCGTGGTTTACAAGTAGGACAAGATCATTAAAGTGCTATCGTGAATATATAGTGAGCCGAAAAACTGAAAGAATAAAAAAAAGCTTCATGAAGAAATTTACTGATTTGAGTTTATAATTTACAACAGCGCAGAATGGAAAACAAGCCGAAATAAAGCATTCGGACTAATAACAATACATATTGAAAGCAACAAACTAATGCGTAGTTAAATGATTATGGTTTGGAATATACTATGCTAAACCTCAAGTCAATCACAATACCTGACAGTTATTTTAAAGAGTTCTGATGACAAAAAAACAGTTAACAATCTGTGGGACTAAATGAGTAAAAAAAGAAGCCAAAATGGAATGACTCATTTTAGACAATATTTAATAAGACATAAATCATGACTGTACGAACAGTACAATTTTCGATGGAGCTAAAAATAAGTAGTGTTCATTTCTCCCTATACACCGTTTGTACCTGCAGGAATAAAATAAACAGGGTTAGACGCTTCATTACTATTTCGCCTATTCTTCGCCCGTTCAATAGGTTGGAATGCACAATTAAGTTCCCTATCTTTTTAGTTTCCTCTCTAATGTCATAAGCATTCTTCGTTATATGGCAATTAACCCAGTAGGGTTCAGTTGTCTTATCTCTTTGCCCAACTTCTCGTTGATTCATAACATTTGGCTGTTTAAGCCAAGCTTCCTCTCCAATCTCTAGAGGAGTGCCCCAACTCTCTTGATTATAATGTGTCTTCTGCCAATATTGGGTTTTTCCTAGGTTCCCTCGGGCCCAGCCATGATAGTATGTAATATCACTCCTCAACTGAACCACCACTTCGGACACAATAAGATCATCCCACTGACTTGCCACGACTGTATCACTGTGAAGACATATGTCTCTTCCTGTCCACAGTAAGGTGAATGTCCTGTTGACCTTGGTATACTCATAAACAAGGGGGTAGTAGTGTTTTCCATTCCACTACCTCTGTCTCAATAAAGGTTCTGAGCAGTGTTTTTTGAAGTTTTATTAGTTTTTCCGACTAGCCCATTGTCCTCGGGATGGTAAGCTGTCGTCCGCGTTCTCTTTATTTTTAAAAGTTAGCATAATACTCTCATCAGTATACGTTTAAAATTAGATCACTGATCAGAATACAATTGTTTGGGTGCTCTCCATACGGTAATCTAAACGTTAAACAATGATTTTAATACCATGCTAGAATTAATTCTATCTAGTGGGATGGCTTCACACCATTTTGAGAAATGACCTACCATAACCAATATGTACATGCTTTTTTTGTTGTATGCCCTAGTAGTCCGATTATATCAACTCCCAGGATTTCACTTGGGGATCTTAGTTAACAGCGCTCGATATCTTCGAGCCGGGTTTTTCACGTTACCGCACACCTGAAAACTGTTCATAAAACCCTAAATGTCCCACAACCACCAATATCTCAGTCTAATCCCCTGATCCATTTAGTCATTTTCACAGTGCTCAACATTAGCATGAACTTTATCGAACATTGCTGTAGCGATTGATTGTGGCGCTAGTAGTAGTACCGGTTGAACACAGGATTACGTACACCAATACTAGCTTGTCCCACAACACCTCGTCTTACGACTATTTCCTTTGACTTCCATGTTAGGTGACCTTTGTTCACTGCCGCAGACCGCTAGATAGAGTAGTGATGCCTCACCATCTGTTGCCTATATATGCGCCCGCTGTATTTTCAGGCCCTGCCAAAGAGACGGAATGAATGTCAATTGCATTAAAACAGGGACAGCTTCCGTGTTATATAACCAAGCGTTGTGATAAGATACCTGAATTTTTATGTTGGTGTTCAGGGCGATGGATACACTCAAAATCGAAGTTTTGAAGATAGTCTTACCAATACGTCGTTTTCCATCCCGAAATTCTGTAGCTATTCGTAAAACTTTATGGTAAGTCCTTAGTATTAAATGCCTGCCAAGAAGGTACGGCCTGTACTTTAGTAGGAATTTCATGACAGCTAGTATTTCTTTACATGTAACAATAATTTTTCAGACCGGCTTAACGCTTGACTTCCATACCTAATAACAAACTATTTGCAATTGGGTCTGATTTGGAAAAACACAGATTTAATTCCTATTTCATTTGCGTCTATACCTAAGATTTACATACCTGAATTATTTGAAGTACTCTGAAGCGGCACAGATTTAGTGTATCGTCCACTTTTGAAGGTTACTGAGCACTTGGAGGTCAAATAGTTCAAACGGTTGTGGACGGAATAGAAGCTTTCGCTTAACGGGCTTCCGTGCTTAGCAGCAGTGGATCACCGATACCTCCAGGCAAGAACCTAGGTATATTAACGATAATAGAGGGAAAAAAGAATTTGGTAAATCATAATAATATGTCATCCTTAGTCCTTAAGAATAGGTCAAGTTTCCTCTTAAAGGACTCCTGGAAAGTCTCTTGGACTAGCTCAGTTAACAGTAAATCACAGCATTTGACAACTCTCACGGAGTAGATTTTGTGTCTGCAGTCTGTTCTGTTATGTCGGGTCTCCAGTTTCTGGGTGTTACCTCTTAGGTTAGTGTTGTGACTAAGCTTAAGAAGATGTTTAAGGGGATCACCAGAAGTGTTAAGGGTACCGCAATTCATAAGAAGGTCGTAAAACGATAAATGAGTCACCTCGACAATTTATAAGGTTTTGCAAAAGCGGTCATATCGGGACAGTCTTGAACGTGATTTGAATTCAACAGCAGTATCTGATAATGTCTGCCCTTTAAGTAACGAAAGTGGTGCTGTCGTAATGACGCATGATATAGAACAAATATTCGATGACATTTTATCGTGACTATTCTTCTGTTAGGACAATTTTGAGACCTGCTCGAAAGAAATACAAATATTAGCAGGACTGCTGTAATTGATAATTTTTTGTACAGTACACTCACACTAGGTATGTCATCTCGGTTTGTAAAAAGAACACAGTTGACTCAACTGTAAAGTATTTTTTCGTCAGATATGTTCGTATTTATGGACGTCAACATAATGCATCGAAATCAGATGCTTGTCATCAGGATGTAGATGATGATGATGATGATGATGATGATGATCAACATTCTTCAGAAAGGCATGCACCTTCTAACTCACTACAACAACTCAGACAAAGAAGGTGACGTGGGTCATCTACGTATGACTCATTTCAAACGAACTTATCATTCAGGTTTAAATATTGCCACTGCCCATCTAAATTTAGGGTCCGTGTTGTAAATATTGAGCTGAAGATCACCTCCACTAAAAATATGCACAACCATCCCTTTGCAGGATATAGTCCTGTCGGTCCTTCGAGGTACGAAGTAATTGCAGAACACACCCGCTACTATGTCAAGGGCATAATGTATGTTGTTGATGCTTCAAGTGCATGATGTGCTTGTCAGCGTCTCAGTGAATACATGTTTCAGTTTGGTCATATTTTGTGTGCGCACGCCAAAGATATAATTCGTGGTTGTGTGTCTTTGTCTCTATAAGCATCATAGATTCGTTTCGACATAGCAGTCGGTGAACAAGGAACTGCATAATCGATTTGGTTTTGATTTATCTCTGAATCTGCCGAACCCAGACTTACTAGTGCCTGTTACCCTTCGTCAAAGGGTATAGTCCGCCCACCAGGATTCCAGATACAACTCTGTCCTGGACAATCATTTCCAGTTTCTGTCTATCCTTTTCATATCCACTTCCAATTCCTGAAGCAGTGCGTTCTTTGGTCGTTATCCTCTCCGTTTCCCTACAGGATTTCAAGTTGACGCTTGCGGTTTGATGATATTCGAAATGTACGTCTCAACCACCACTCCAAATGTCTTTTCCTAATTCCCTCTTCAGATGAAAGCTGGTTTATTCTCTCACACATCGTCAAAATCCATTGATCTCAACGACCATGTCTATACTTCTTGATAACCAGACGTTTATCATTGTTACATTTTTGCCTTCGTATAAATTCATTTATATGGCAATCAACTTATTCTTACAGCATCACGGCAGGGAGTGTGTATCATGAAGTCGTATGCGACTGTATGGCTGTAAAACAAAAGGATGTAGGTCGGCGTTGGTGTTTAGCGATTCCCAGGTTGGCACATACGTGTTTAGTCGTCAAAACCATCTATCAAATACTGCAACCTTGGTGTATTAAAATATTAGATTAAATTCGGTACTACTGTACTACTTAGAAATCACACAACAGTTGTTTTTTGTTGTGGCGTACACGAGTAAGACTAAGTGTTTGTCAGCAGTTAACTTTATTGTTAGAAACGCACAGACTTACGATTTTCATCAGTGCTGTTTTATCGAAGATCAGAGTCTCCATCTGTTCTTCGTTCTAAGTGGTCTGTTATTCACATACTAACAGCCCTTTCTCCACTTTTGCAGTTATGTTCATGTAATGAGTTTGGAATAATTTCTCTTCACTTGAAAAATTAACATGACTCAGACATTAATTACCTAAACCTATAGTCATTAACGCAGATGAAGGATATATACTAGCTGTTTAGTCCTGGTACATTTGTTCATCAAACGATAAACAGGAGTGAATGGTCAAAGTTTTTCATGAGATATTCATGTTACAACATGTCTGTAGTGCATGTATGTGCATATCCGGAAACAGTTCCATCGCTGACCATCCCATCTCGTAGCTACACATTTAAACTCTGGATTACATGGAAAACTTATTAGATTGTATTGTAAATCATTTACGAATATTTATTTGTGAATATAAACTTCCCAGTGAGTATTTAGGGCCACTGAAATGTCACTGAGACCTAACCAAATAATCCATCAGTTAGGTCATTGAATGTCAAACAGTTTATCAATCCCCGTCAAGGTCAGTAACAACTAACGCTAATCAGTTAATCATACGACATGGACTGGCTCATGCATTGGTGGTCACAGTTTCTCTTTCGCCTACTTTAACTAACATATTTCTGTAATAAGGTCCTTTGTGTCATATGTTCTTCAAAGCATTTATGGTACCTTGATACGAATAAACGATAATCCACGTTAGGTGCCGACAGAAAGGTGTGACTTTGAAGTTAGCCTTTGGCCACATTATTCCCGTTTAATGCGAGCAGACACTTAATCGTTCGACATAGATCATCTACTTTGGTGATCTACAAGCGTGCAGACGGTGGAGATGCAATCACGTCCTGAGGCAACATTGCAATTCTTTTCGTTTGATTAATAACTGGAACTTCATTAAAATGGGAAGAGTCTTTCAAAAAGGTAAACAAATGGTTACTAAACTAATACAATTAACATATACATGAAACTAGAAAAATGTGTGTTAATGTGCGGAGTTCTTCTTTCCGTGATTTATTAATGCTTTGTGATTCCTTGTATTATAGAGAAGTTGGTGTTCAAACGTCTAATGTGCGAATTCCAATCATAAACAACTACCTTGATTTAATTTGGACTATATTCAAACAACTGCGACCTGTCTTTGATAATCATGAGGCTGAAGTTTCATTCCATACTTTCTTTTCATTTCTTACAAGCGTCACAAAAATGAACTCCGCCTGTAGCTCTTGGGAATTTACTGACGGTCCCAAGCCCACACAAAGTAGGAGGGGTAACCCACCAAAAAAACGCTAACCAGAAAAATTATTCTAACCATTCAAACTCTGCCCTGGCACTTGAAAGGAGGATTACGACACCTCATGATGAAAGCCGAGATTCTTTGGAAGTCATGAGGCCGATGCTCCTTCTACCAACCAGATCAACACCTTTTATAGGTATATAGAACGTCCGGACAATGTGGGAAACCGATATGATTAGCCTGATAGCAAAGGAAATGAGGATCTACAAATGGACAGTACTTGAAACCAACGAAACCCATTGGACCTGAGTTGGACGGTGAAGGATAGATATGGGAGAGATGCTGCTGTATCCCGTTCAAGAAGAGAAAAATGTTACACAAAGGAGGCTGCTCTAATGCAGTCCGAGGAAGCATGAAATGCAGTTGTAGGATAGGAATGTCACGAACCCAGAATTATCAAAGTATCATTCAAAACAAAGAAAAAGGAATAACATTGAATGTTATCCAGTGTTATGCACCCATCAATGATAGCAACGACGACGATATAAATAAAATCTACTCGAGGTTTCAATCGATCATAGCTAAGTGCTCAAGGAAGAACCTCACCATCATGATGAGAGATCTAAATGCTAAGTTTGGAGTGGACAACACAAGATATGAAGATATAATGGGACGACATGGAGTGGGAGAGAGAAGCGAAAATGGTGAGAGGTTTGCAAATCTAAGTGCATTCAACAAATTGGTTATAGCAGGCACAATATTTCCACACAAACGCATACACAAAGCTACATGGATCTCACCGAATCAAATAACAGAGAACTAGATCATATTTGTATCAATATTAATTCACAAGGACAATAAGAGATGTAAGAACAAGGAGAGGATTTGAAATAGCTTCAGATCACCACCTGGTTGTAGCCAAGATGAAACTGAAGCTAAAGAGGCATTGAACAACTGGACAAACAGCATTACAAAAGGTTCAATACAGCCTTCATTTTAGATACTAACAAACTCAACGGATTCAAGATAACTGTCAACAATAGGTTCCAAGCTTAACAAGATCTACTGGAAGAACAAGAAACTACGATGAAGGACAACTGGAAAGAGATAAAAGAAGCTTTAACTTCTAAGTGTCAAGTGGTTCTGAACCGCAAGAAATATCATCATAAGGAACGGATTTCTATGGGAACCCCGGGCAAGATTAAGGAAAGGAAGAACAAGAAGACAGCAATTAACAACAGTCGAACACAAACAGAAAAATTCAAGGCACGAGCAAAGTACGCAGAAGCAAACAGTCGAGTGAAGAAAAGCATTAAAACCGACAAGCAAAAATACATGAGAGAACTAGTAACGACGGTGGAAAAAGCTGCAAGAGAAGGAAATATGAAACAATTATATTATACAACGAAGAAACTACCAGGGAGATATAGTAAACCACAGAGATCAGTTAAGGACAAAGAAGGAAAGACAATCACGGATATTGTAGAACAGAGGAAAAGGTGGGTAGAATACTTCGAGGAACTGCTGAATAGACCAGCTCTATCAAATCCACCGGACATCGAAGTGGCACACACAAACCTTCCAATATCTGTCACTCCACCAACGATCGAATAAATCAGAATGGCCATCAGACAAATCAACAGTGTGAAAGCAACAGGACCTGACAATATACCAGCTGAAGCATCGAAGTCAGACATTGAAGTGACTGAAAACATGCCTCACCTTCTATTCAAGAAGATTTGGGAGGAGGAACAAGTGTCAACAGACTGGAAAGAAGGGTACCTCATCAAGATACCAAAGAAAGGAGATCTGAGCAAATGTGAGAATTACAGAGACATCAGTTCGTTGTCAGTACCAGAAAACGTTCTCAATAGATTGTTACTCAACCAGATGAAAGACGCAGTAGACGCTCGACTTCGAAATAAACATGCTGGTCGTGCACAGACCAAGTTGCGACACTACAGATCATCGTGGGACAATCAGTTGAGTGGAACTCTTCACTATACATCAACTTCATTGACTATGTGAAGACCCTTGATAGTGTGGACAGGAGAACATTATGAAAGCTATGGAGTTCCTCAGAAGATCGTCAACATTATCCGGAACTCATTCGACGGACTATAGTGCAAAGTCGCTCATGGAGAACAGCTGACAGATGCATTTTCAGTAAGGATCGGAGTCAGACGTAGTTTTCTACTCCCCCCCTCCTCTTTCTTCTGTCGACTTACTGGATTATGAAGACCTAAACATCTGAGTTGAATCACAGAATGGACAGCTCAGAATTAATTAGATGATTTGGACTTCCTAGATGACCTAGCCTTTCTATCCCGTGCTTTCCTCCAGATGTTGACGTCTTCATGATCCAGTCGATCACCAGGAGAAAGAGAAAGGGTGAGAGTAAGCAGCCTTGCCTTACACCGGTCTTTACTTCAAACGAGTCGGTGAGTCGCCCTTCGTGGACAATTTGGCAGTTTAGTCCATCATAGGAGTTCCGTATGATATTGACTATCTTCTCAGGTACGCCGTAGTGTCGAAGAAGCCTCCATAGTGTCGTCCTGTCCACACTATCAAATGCCTTCTCGTAGTCAATGAAGTTGATGTAGAGTGATGAGTTCCATTCGATTGATTGTTCCACAATGATACGTAGAGTTGCGATTTGGTCAGTACACGATCTATCTTTACGAAATCCAGCTTGTTGATCTCGAAGTTGGGCGTCCACGGAATCCTTCATCCTGTTTAACAATACTCGGTTGAAGACTTTTCCTGGTATTGAGAGAAGAGTGTTGCCCCTGTAGTTGTCGCACTTGCTAAGATCGCCTTTCTTCGGTATTTTGATCAGAAGTTCTTTTTTCCAGTCTATTGGTACTTGTTCTTCATCCCAAATCTTGCTGAAGAGTATGTGTAGTATCTTGGCAGTTGCTGCTACATTTGCCTTCATTGCCTCTGCCGGGATGTTGTCTGGTCCCGCTGCTTTGCCGCTCTTGATTTGTCAAATGGTCATGCTGATCTCTTCAATTGTTGGTGGGCCAACATCGATTGGGAGGTCCGTGGGTGCTGCTTCGATGTTGGGTGGGTTCAGTGGAGCTGGTCGATTCAAGAGTTTCTTGAAGTGTTCTACCCACCTGTTACGTTGTTCTTCAATGTCGGTGATTACTTTGCCTTCCTTACTTGTCACTGGTCTTTCTGGTTTACGGTAATTTCCAGCAAGTTTCTTTGTTGTATCATACAGTTGTCTCATGTTTCCCTCTATTGCAGCCTTTTCCGCTGTCATCGCTAAATCTTCCACATATTTACGTTTGTCGGTTCTGATGCTCCTCTTCACTTGCTTGTTGGCCTCTGTGTATTCGGCTTGTGCCTTGGCTTTTTCCGTTCTGGTTCAGCTGGTATTGATTGCTACCTTCTTGTTCTTCCCTGCTTCAATTTTATCCAGTGTACCAACAGTGATCCATTCCTTGTGATGGTGCTTCTTTTGGCCCAAAACCTCTTGACATGTTGAAACGATTGCCTCCTTGATACCTTTCCAGTTGCTCTCCATGGTAGTTCCCTCTCCATTGAGTAGATCATGAAAGGCCTGGAACCTGTTGCTGAGGGCTATGTTGAATTTGTTGAGTTTGTCAGCATCTCGAAGAAAGGCCGTATTAAACTTTTGTTATGTTGTCCGCCCCGTTGTCCAGTGCTTCTTGAGTTTTAGTTTGACCTTGGTGACCAGCAAATGATGATCGGATGCTATATCAGCTCCTCTTCTGGTTCTCACATCCTCCATCGTCCTCCTGAACTTTTTGTTGATGCAGATATGGTCGATTTGATTCTGTGTAGTGTGATCCGGTGAAATCCAAGTGGCTTTGTGTATGTTTTTGTGTGGAAATATAGTGCCACCTATGACCAGTTTATTGAAGGCACATAGATTTGCAAATCTCTCACCATTTTCGTTCCTTTCTCCCAGTCCATGTCGCCCCATGACGTCTTCGTATCCGATGTTGTCCTTTCCAACCTTGGTATTTAAATCTTCCATCAGAATGGTCAGGACCTTGGTTGGGCACTTTTCGAAGATCGACTGCAGCCTATCGTAGAATTGATTTTTGATGTCTTCATTGTAGTCGTTGGTAGGTGCATAACATTGGATGACGTTCATTTTAATGCCCTCTCTCTTTGTTTTGAAGGAGGCTTTGATGATCCTTGGTCCATGAGATTCCCATCCTATTAGTGCATTTTGTGCTTTTCTGGACAGCATCAATGTAACTCCTTGTGTATGTGGGGTATTTTCTTTTTCATGACCAGAGTATAACATAAGTTCTCCTGAAGACAGTCGTTGTTGTCCAACCTGCGTCCAATGTGTTTCACTGATTCCAAACACCTCCAGGTTGTATTTTCTCATTTGTGCAGCAATTTGAAAGACTCTTCCGGTCTCCCACATTGTTCGGACATTCCATGTACCTATAAAAATTGTTGCTCTGGTTGTAAGAAGGTGCATCGGCCTCATAACTTCCCAAAGAGCTCGGCTTTCATCATGAGACGTCATAATTATTCCTTTTACTCCCAGGGCAGAGTTTGAATGGTTTGAATGATTTTTTCTGGTTAGCGTTTTTTAGCGAGTTGATTTTCTACGGGATTGGGTCGTTAACCCCATGCCCAACCCTCCTCGTTTATCAGGGCTTGGGACCGGCAGTAAACCCCGGAGGAGCTACAGGCGGAGTTATAGAGACTATTAGTTTAACATTATAAGTAAGCTTACAATATTAAAGTATTACAGCATTAAGGGGTCTGCCACATGTCTAAAGTTTTGTAGGACTATCAAATCGCTAGTTAAAAATTTCACAATTAGGCGTTGCAATACCACAATAAACAGAAGTATTCTTATTCATTTTACTGGGAATTCATATCGTTGGGAAAGCTAGTGGAGGATATACTGAAGACTATCTTGTATATGAAAAGACCTATGAAATTCCTGTAGAAAACACGGAGTTATTCTAATCTACAATGTTAATCGGCATACAAACGTTATTTATTGGGTTTTTACTGCATCAACCGGACCTCAGACAAGTAATATTTGTCTTAAGTCTGTTCTGATGTATGATGCACTTGCCCGAAACACTTGCACAATCTTAGAATTATTCAGCTAGCATATCCAAAATCAACCGTAAAAACAATCAAAAGACATGGTCATCCTGTCTGCCGCTCTTATTTATACGTCAAAAAATCATGTTTAATTGAATCGATCCACCCTTCTGAATTATGTTCCATATTACCTATCTAACACTTAACTTATTGTGTGAATGGATCTTAAAAATACTGTAAATACGGAAAGAATATTAATATTAATATTTTAGTGCAGCGCTTTATTGATACCTAACACATAATGTCGCCAATTTACAGTACAGTGTGTAGAAACACTAACAAATACGCAATAGACTTCTCATAGTAAAAGTCTTGAAACCATGAAATCCATCCTCAAAAAGAGGAAGCAACAAAAATCTTCTCCAGTTTTTGTGGAAAAGGGCTCAACACGTCCTTTCCAATAAAATTAGGTGGAATACACTAGGTCATTTTCCTCATTAGTCCCTTCTAGTATTTACTAATCGGTCGATAATTCGGATACAGCCTAAACCCGAACTTTCCGCCGAATTACGCGTGTATTTTTTAGGAATTGGTGTTGTTTTCGTGTAACTGACAGTTGAACATTACTCCTCAACAAAATATGACACATCACCGACTGGGACCCAATGACTTAACATGCTGCTACAGTTAATGACTTTAAAAGGAATTGAATGAATCCCAGTAACATGTTCATCAGTAACAAAGCAGGTCTCTCAGAAATCAACAGATCTCAAACACACTGACATTAAATATGTGCATCGATAAATTTTTAAATACACTGTCTTCAGGTTATCTGTCGACCTTGGTGCAAGTAGACAATTTCAATGACTTTGGCTGATTGTGAGTTACTTATACCCGCCTTTCTAAAAGAAGCTTCTTGACAGATCTCATTATTCATCGTGTTTTCGCTTTTTTATGTAAATGTTTCACGACAAATATTCCACTTTAAAAGTCTGAGTACTATTGACTCATAAGTTAATTATTTATCCATTACGCGATTGATTATTTAGTTCATTATACTTCGGAAAACTCTGGAATTTCGAATGATCTCCGAGACATCTCCAGGCCGTGAATTAGGTGTAGTAAATTCCCCAAATGTTCGCTACAAAATTTTTAAATGTTCGGTAGATAGACTCAAACTGTACAAAGTTAACTGTAGGGTTAAATATTTATCTTGGAACTTCTATTGTGCACAGCACACTGTCCCCAATTTCCGTTAACTGTTTTGATGATTTAGAAATATCTTAGTTTCCTAGCTGTCTCCTTAATGACTCCAACCCTTCGTTCGAGAGTGTTTTCAATTCTTAAACAATGCATTATCCATTCATCTCAAAAAACTTATGTTCAACGAGCTTGAATAACGAGAAACAAATGAGTTTCGTCTTGATGTATTTCTGCCGAAACCTCTCTTTTTGTCATAGGTTTCACTTGTTTTATGTCGAAATATGACCTATCTTGGCGAATAAGTAGTTAGTTATGCACACAAAGTCATATAGTCATATGTTTAGAATAAACCTTCACTTTGTTCATTCACTATTCGTTCAGTGCATAAGAATTGTTTGGTTAAATGTCGTAACGTTCCTTATCTGACTAGCCCTTGATAAGCTGATATGCCATGGTATGGCCGAGAGTTAGGAGAGTCAGCTCTCCCTCTCGAAATGCTCTCACATGGCCACGTGCATACAACCACTGCCACGGAAGTCCTACTCACTATCTTCTCACAGCATGGGTGTTTCTTACGAAATTGAGAACACGAAAAGCAAATTTCCCGCACTCTAACTGGGTTAGTAGATGCGGAGGACCCACCTAGGTGAGTTAGAGAACCCTGATTCCGAACCAATGGAGTACACGGGCTCCAGGATCTCGAGGAGACAAACGGAGTATGAACTTATTGTTGATCACCGGCTAGCATGGAACTGCATCTTCTAACGTTGCTTCACTGCCTTGTGGATTAGAACTCTAGATCAAAGACTCGGTGTGTGGCTTCGTAAGAAAATCACCTGCTTCGTTTTGACTATCTGTACAGTATCCCATCCCTCACATAAATCGAGTGAAGTATGGCGCACATATATTTGATGCTTCTTTGTACTAATGTTCATGTGTTTAAATAAAATAAATGGATCAAATATTACTGAGTATTGACGTTGTTGGTTGAACCAACGTTAATAAAAGTTCTGTTATGGAATTGTCCTTAATGAACTCAATGGTGTATTAAAAAAGAGCACGCAAGAAGTATGCAAATTTTACCCATACTTCAAGCGTTAAGGTTAGCGAGAAATAGGATTCTTGGCCAGTATAGTAATAAAGGCAATCCAACTTAATTGTAACCAGTCATACATAACTTTTACACAATAACTTTTTCTGACAAACAGCAGCAACTTATCAATTATTTTGTCCAACATACAGAAAAACATTGCAAAGGATGGGATATAAATAAAGTCAAAATGTTCAGTGCTTAAGTTAGGTAGATGTGATGTGGTTATGTTTGTTTATTTAGTTAGTTGAACACATAAATATTGGTACAAGGAGGCACCAAATATATATGCGCCATACTTCATTCGATTTGTGTGAGGGATGGGATACTGTACAGATAGTCAAAACGAAGCAGGTGATTTTCTTACGAAGCCACACACCGAGTCTTTGATCTAGAGTTCTAATCCACAAGGCAGTGAAGCAACGTTAGAAGATGCAGTTCCATGCTAGCCGGTGATCAACAATAAGTTCATACTCCGTTTGTCTCCTCGAGATCCTGGAGCCCGTGTACTCCATTGGTTCGGAATCAGGGTTCTCTAACTCACTTAGGTGGGTCCTCCGCATCTACTAACCCAGTTAGAGTGCGGGAAATTTGCTTTTCGTGTTCTCAATTTCGTAAGAAACACCCATGCTGTGAGAAGATAGTGAGTAGGACTTCCGTGGCAGTGGTTGTATGCACGTGGCCATGTGAGAGCATTTCGAGAGGGAGAGCTGACTCTCCCGATCCTCGACCGTATCAGGGCATTTGTGTGATACTCACCCTTTAACAAACCAAAATTCTACGGCAAATATCATATCCCAATTACCATTTTTAACCGAACTTCAATTTGTGGATTCAGTCAACATTTATGATGTACCAGCTATTAACAGGCCTATACTAGTATAATTTCGGCATGTATTAATATGGTCACTCTATATTGTTTTTCATAATAACCTTGGTAAATCCTCGGATGTAAACATGTTTTACATCCAGTTTGTGAATTTGTACATTAAAAATCGTAAAATTGAATCTCTTCACGAGTTTCTAGATAAAGGCCGATTATTATTTCCTTTTATACTGTGAATTCAAATTAAATATATCATTATTTTTATTCACGGAGTTAAAATGTTTTATGTTTAAAATAGTAAGAGCTGGCAACACAAACAAATTCATGTTTGTATTCACATGTTTTAAGATATTCTTAGTTGTGAATGCTCCATCGCGTGACAATTGACCTTGTATGGAGTGATTATTGTCAAATGGAATTTTAGTTTGCCATTAAGCCAATTGAACATGTGACATACTATGTTTTATTCAGCAAACTGTTTATATTAGTTTACCTATAGGTCATCAAATTTTTTACATAATATGTTGATGCATTGAAACTGTTCCACACTGTTGATTAATTCTAATTGTTATTTTACCATTGGTTTTCATTATTCTGCATTACATACATGGAGATCCTTACATATAATGTATAGGCTATATCTTTTCAGACTACCGACTAATTCTATAATTCGTTGGGCCAATCAGGGGTCAGTAGATGAGGTCATATTGATAAACTAGATCAATAAGAGGTTGCCAAATGATACGTGATTAACAAAATAGTGGCTTTCATTTGCGAAGGATAAAACAAACTAATGGTGCGCTTAATTTCTTCAGGGACAGATATACATATAAATACGTGTAAACAAAATAACTCCGGTCTAATCAAATAAAATTCCTACTTCTCTCAGTGTTTTCCTCGGATGGCAGAGTTCGTGCATAGAAAGTGTGTACCAGCTTTCTGACACCACACATCACTACACTGTACAGATATTTTATGTAAATCTGATAACTTGTGAAATAATAAACAAAATAGTTGCTATCTGTATTGCGAGATATACTACTTATGTCTACAGAAAATTGAAACGAAGAGAATAGGAAAGATTAGACGTGCACTGCTGAAGAGTCCCATACTAGAACGGAACAGCCACCCAGTGCTTTCAGGTTCTCCATGGTGGCTTAGCTTCAATTGACTCATGAATTCAACTATCGAATTGCTATAATAATATATAAACAAATAATCATTGATAAAATGTTTTAAGAAAAATACTATGGATCCGCAGTAAACGTTTTTTTGAATGATTCATTTTATCTGATATAAAATTAGAAAATCCCAAATTAGGTCTATGAGGAGATTAAATATTTATTCAAAGAAATTTGCTATCTAATGATCTTCCAGCTCATAACCTACATTACTCTATGAATTATTAATTCAAAGATTTTTGTTTGAATTTCTGACTGGAATCAGTTCAACATACCGTAACTATATATTTTAGGATCTAATTTGTTCTGTCTTTATTCACGTCACCAATATTTAATTGATGCCTTTCCAACGCATCTTCCTTCGTTTTACTATTAAATAATCATGTCATCTTAATTTTGATTTGTTTGAAAAGTCCCAAACTTAATAAGTCAGTATTCATCTTAATTATAGAATGACTTAATTTAAGTGATGTACATATACCCTTCCTCATCATAATTCCTTGTGTTATGCTTATCTTATTCAAATATTATTAGTCGTAGTACTAGCGGTAGTATTATTATTACTACAATTCCTACTATCATTAATAGTACTATTATTATTGTCGCTATTAGTATCACTATTATTATTATTATTGTTATTACTCAGATACCTTCGTTGTATCATTATAGTTAGTCTAGCAAAAATATGAAGAATTTGATTAGTGATCACATCATTTGTTGTTTAGTTTGATTTATAATCACATTATTTCTCTCACCCTATACCACTTGAATTTATTCTAATTATTACTCCTACTACATCAACTGACCCATAAGCTTATTCAAGTTGATCCTAATATATTCATTTCAACAGAAATAAAATCAATTTACTGATAGTTTCACATTTATATTCTAAAAGTTTTAATGATATATTCCCTCATAACATGGTTATTCCTTTAGATTATCAATTTAGATTTATGACTTAAGAATCTGATGAGAATTTATTGAAAAATAAACTCTTAGTTTTCCATTCAAAATTTAAACTAAACATTTCTTTAAATTTCTACATATAAATAATAAAATATTTAATTTCTTGTAAAATGTTATCGTTTCCAAAATGTGATTTTTGCATGGAGTTTCTTATCGATATCAATTTCCTGCAGTACTTGTTTAAATGATCGTCCAGCCAAGCACACATACGTGAACCACCATGCCTATTCTAAACTTACACTTTTTCTTACTCTAGTTATTGAAAGAATCATTTTCAAAACTGAAGAAATGGGAACATTTCTGTAAACATGACATTAAAACAAATTATGACAAAATTAGAATCATGGCAAAGATAGCTAACAAGCTGCTTTTGTGCTCACAGCTTTGATTTTAAAATGAGAAAAACTGAAGGTCCTGCAATGTAATTATGTTTATGCGTAAACCTATCTAAATGATTGACTACGCCTTTCAAATGATATCCAAGGTTGAATCACCACATATTGCGGAACAGAAAAGATAATTGATCTGTCTTATCCTTTTCTAAGCCATATTATGCGATGTTCTCGAAAGACTTATGTACGTGGTCTTCCAGAAGTGGATAAGCTGGCATATG